GAGATCATCTCCCTCTGTGATAGAACAAAACAGGCTAGCTCCCGAGAGGGGCTGGGATAGGGAGTGAGCACATGCTTACCCTGGAGGTGGTGCTCACGGCATCTCAGACACGCAGGGACAGGGAGGGAGGGCGCCCACGGAGGAGCAGCACTCAGTGAGGTAGGAGCAACCAACATGTTCAGAAAACAGGAGGCCACATGGCCAGAGCCTGGTGGCAGAGGGGACCCTGTGCCTGAGGAGGCCACCAAGGCAGGAGGGAAAGGTACGTTCTCCGGGGGCTAGAGCTAATGGGACTTGCTGGCAGGTTGAAGGTGGTGGGTGAAGGGGAGGATGAGTCCAGAATGCCTGGGGACACCACAGTGTTCCCAGGGCTGCGCCTAGAGTCACGAGGAGACCCCAGGAGACTGTTGGGAGCCCTGGGGCCACACTCTTGACCTGGACATGCTGCTCTGGAGAGAGCGTCCATGGCATCCACGGTCCCTGAGAGGCATGGGGTATCGTGAAAAGAGCCCCCAAAATGCGCAAAGCAAAAACGGACAGAACTGAAGGGCATAATAGTCGAGTCAACCGAAAGAGTTGGAGACTTAGTACCCCACTTTGAGTAATGGATAGAACATCTAGACAAGATCAGTGAGGAGTTGGAGACTCAGTGCCTCATGTTGAGTAATGGATAGGATATCTAGACAGGATCAGTAAGGAAGCAGGACTTGAGCAACACAAAAACCAACCAGACCTAACAGACATATAGGACACCCCACCCAAACAGCGGGGTACACGGCCTTCTCAAGTGCACATGGAAAATTCTGAATGGGAGACCATTTGTTAGGTCACCAAACACATCTCAAATTTTAAAGGATTGAAATACGGAGTATGTGCTCCCATCACAAGGAGATAAAATTGGAAATCAGAAACAGGGAAACTGGAAAATTGACACGTGGAAATTAACCTAGATAATCACTGAGCCAGAGAGTTAGGTGTGGAGGCAGCAGGAGAAACATCCCGTGCAGGGGTGAGGAGACATGAGGGAGCTCGGGGACCAGCTGCCTCCGTAAGGCCAGACTCAGGTCTTCTCCGGCTTCTCCATGGGCTGCAGGGGGCCTGGGATGCAGTGTCTTTTTGTTGAACAGATGCTAAACGGGCTTCTACCGTGAGGACCAGTTCCTTCCTAAGTCTAGTGGGGTCCCTGACACAACTCCCAGGATCAGAATAAGCCACAGAGAAAGAGTATAAGAGGCCTGGAGGTCATCTCACCAAGGGGTTCGTTCTCGCCTGAGGGAAAAGGAGGATGTCACTGGATGAGAGAGCAGGTTGTCTACAGAGGCCAGAGAGGGTATGGCCATCTCCTGGTCCCAGAAGTCATTTAGTAAGGGACAGATCCCCCAGGACCAGGGAGGACACCGTGTAAGGATTTTGGTACAGTTGAAATGCTCGTTGGATTAAAAGGGGAGAGAAAAGCCTAGAGCCACAGGATGGGACTTGGGGGCAGGGATATCCTGGGCCTGCTGTTAGAAATGGATGGGAGGACAGGTAAGGCCAGGGAAGCCAGAGGTGAGGCAAACAGTGTGGTGTCCGAGGCGATCAGGTTGTGCCGAGGCAGCTGGCCTCAGACGGGGACCTGCACAGAGCATTCGGAGGCCAAAGCCAGCCTGCGGGGCTCTGGAGGGCGTGGATTACCCAGAGGGCAAGGAGGCTGTGTTAGGTGTCGTTTCTCAGAGCTGCCTGCACTGGGAGGCTGATGTAAGGGCCCGCTAAGGGCGGTAGCTGGCCCGGGCATGAGATAGATGCCCAGGCTCATTATCAGATGAACAAAGGTTTTGGCAACCTGGGTGGGCAGATACTGCTTCTTATGTTTCTGTCACCTTTGCTAAGTATGAGGGTGAACAATAGCTGGAACCTGTACCCACTCCACAGATGTCACCCAAGAAGAGGGATGCCAAGGTGGTGACAGCTCAGCACTATCAGATGCAACCCCAGGCTCTGGCATCTCTAGAAAGGTTCCCAGTCCAGGTCCCTCGCCTCCTGGCTGCACCCAGGACTCACTCCACACCCCTGACTCCCTGTTCATGTCTGCCTTGAACTCTAAAGCCCTGCCCCCAGCGTAGCCTCAGCATTTTACATCAGTTGGGAGTTTGGTCTCATCAGGTGTGGGCCACGAGCATTGTAATCATCTGCTCCCAGCGCTGGGCTGAGCACCTTACCTGCCCTGCCTGTCGCCTCACGCATCCCCATTTTCCAGGTGAGGAGACTGAAGCCTGGGCGAGGTAAGGTTTCACCCTGAGAAAATGGCAGAGCCGGAATAAACTTGACAGTTCTTCTTGCCTTCAAGAGGCGGCAGGGACTAAGCAGCCTCTGCGCCCCTCGTGCTCGTGTCCTGGCCAGAGTTGGTACTGACTCTAGGGCCAGGCTGCTTGATGCATTGCGTTTTGGACTCAGTGGTATTTTCACAATTGCCCCAGTGACTAAGAGAACCCACTGTTGTGTTACAAGGATTTTGTGTTTCCCACGCACTTTAATGATGTCATCTTGTGGGGATAGTGGTAATCAGCCCTCACTCATACAGTCCCCTGGGACTATTTCCAACGCCCTCTCAGAACACGGGCCTCAAGCAAGTAGCTCAGGCTTGCTTTTCCCACACAAACCCATGTTGTCAGCTCACACGGGAGGCGAAAGTCCAGGGTATGGTTTTTTCTGACTGTCGTGAACGAACTATGTGACTTCAAGTCAACGTTCTCTGGGTTCTCACTGCCACACGCTGCAGTCCTGGGCCTGTAAGCTAAGATGATGTTTACATTTTTAAAGGATTATAAAAGCAAAAACAAAGAAGAATATATGACAGAGACCAAATGTGGCCCACAAAGCCAACAGTACCGACAGTCTGGCCCTTTATGGGAAAATGCGCCACCCCGACTTGAGGGGGGTCTCCCTTGGCTCCTGTGCTCTTCGGTTTTATTTATTGCAGTTTGCTTTCCCAGGCCCCTCTGCAGTTTGCAAAGCACTTTCACATGCATCATCTCCCGTAAGCCCCAGCAGCTTGTCGAGGCAGACGGGCCTCATTTGGCTAAACTTGACCTCTGAGGAGCATGTTTGAAAATAAGAAAATTGGTTCTTCTGCTTGCTCTTGCGGGGAGTATGCCAGGAGGAGCAGCACCCACTCATCGGTGTGCTTTTGGCTGCTACATTCTGAGACAGGACATAAATGAGGGATTGTGTTGCGGGAGAGGATAAACACTACTCATTTTAAGTTTTGAGGGGTTTTTTTTGTTTTGTTTTGTTTTGAGATGAGATGTGTCCTGCAGGCTGGAGTGCAGTGGCATGGTCATAGCTCACTGCAGCCTCAGACTCCTGGGCTCAGCTGATCCTCCTGCCTCAGCCTCCGGGGGAGCTGGGGCTACAAGCATTCACCCCCATGCCCAACTGATTTTTGTGTGGTTGGGTTTTTTTGTTTGTTTGTTTTTGGTTTTTTTTGTTTTTTGAGACGGAGTCTCGCTCTGTCGCCTAGGCTGGAGTGCAGTGGCACGATCTCGGCTCACTGCAAGCTCCGCCTCCCGGGTTCCTGCCATTGTCCTGCCTCAGCCTCCCAAGTAGCTGGGACTACAGGTGACCGCCACCATGCTCAGCTAATTTTTTGTATTTTTAGTAGAGACGGGGTTTCACCATGTTAGCCAAGATGGTCTCAATCTCTTGACCTCGTGATCCGCCCTCCTTGGCCTCCCAAAGTTCTGGGATTACAGGCATGAGCCACCGTGCCCGGCCTGGTTTTTTATAAAGACAGAGTCTTGCCATGTTTCCCAGGCTGGTCTCAAACTCCTGGGCTCAAGCGATTCTTCTGCCTCAGCCTCCCAAAGTGTGCTGGGATTACAGGCGTGAGCCACTGCGCCCAGCCCATTTTAAGTCTTTTTTTTTTTTTTTTGAGACAGAGTCTCCCTGTGTGGCCCAGGCTGGAGTGCAACGGCATGATCTCAGCTCACTGCAATCTCTGCCTCCCGGGCTCAAGCCATTCTTGTGCCTCAGCCTGTAGCTGAGATTACAGGCGTGTGCCACCACGCCCAGCTACTTTTTTTTGTATTTTGAGTAGAGACAGGGTTTTACCATGTTGGTCAGGCTGGTCATGAACCCATTTTAAGTCTTGGTTGCTAGTTGTTCACACTCTAAAGCTAAAGTTTGTGGAATAGGAAACAGGTCCCTCCCCTCAACCTGTGACTGGGCTTTGTCTTTGATGGTTCTGTTCTAAACGCTTCACAAGCAGGCTTTGGTCCAAAACATCCAAGCTCTTACTTGCTCTGGAAATAACAGCCCACCCTGAGACAAGGATGTGCACGGTAGAATGTTCCAGGGCTAGGAAGGGAAACCATTTCTATCTGGTGTGATGCGACCGTTTTACACAAGTCCGCTGCCCTCAAGGGTGGAGAGGGTCGCTTTTCAGCTCTTGGCAGGATGAACAGGGGCCAGATGAGGTTCGGCTGTGTTTGAATTTGGGGGTGGTGGGCCAGTTAGCGTAACCTGTGGAGAAACAAGAAACCGATCTGGGTGCTGCGGATACTTTCCCAGCCACTGAGAGGATTCCTTGGCATGTGTTTGTGACGCTGGGTGCAGAGGTTCACCAGGAGGAATTTTTGAGCTTTGGGCTGAAATCCTGGCTCATTCGGGTGCTGGGCTCTGGGAGTTACTGGGAGTTAGCTGCCCGCGGTGCATGTTGGGATATTTGTTATGGAGCCAAGAGTTGCTCGGTTGCCGTGAGGCTGACGCCCTCTGACCCCGGCTGTGTGCTCCTTGTTTCAGAGGTCAGCTGGCGGCTCCAGTCCTGAAGGCGGAGAAGGTAAGGAGCTCTCTAACACCTTTGACCATCTTCAGTTTTAAAAACGGAAGGAACCTGATTTTTCTCCTCCTCTTCTCATCATTTTCTGTAGATTCTGACAGAGAAGATGGAAATTACTGCCCTCCTGTCAAGCGAGAAAGAACGTCCTCTTTAACCCAGTTCCCACCCTCACAGTCAGGTAAAATATGCAAACTTACCGAATAGTAAAAACGTTTATGCTTACAAACCCGCCGTTCCCCTCAGTGCTGCGCGTCCGTCTGCTGTGTCCTTCCTGCCCAGCTCCGGTTAGAGTCGATCTGAGGCTCGGACTCGGTCAGGAGTGAGGTGAGAGCTTGCCCAGAGTGCAGCACCAGGGGTCCTCGTCTAGAATCAGTGACGCTGACAGCATGGTGAGACTTGGTGGCCTGAGGAAGACTGGGAAGAGATCGTCCCTCTGAAATGGAGGAAAGGGGTTGACTGCTTAGAGCCCTGTTGGGGCCTCTGCCTGTTAATTACGTCTCCTGTTTCCAAGGCTGGGCACAGACTGGGGGTTTAGGGGTGGGGTGTTCTCCTGACCCCTCAGCTGCATGCCCAGCACAGGCAGTCCAGTGCAGTAGCCCAGACATGCACATGCATGTGCACACAAGCATGCACACACAGTAACCAGCAAGCCAGGAGGTCTCAGCAGAGGCCCGTGTGTGATGCTGTGAACTCCCAGAGGAGAGGAGCTTGTTGGGGCCTGGAAGGGTGGGTCAGGCTCGGACTGTGGAGTAGGGCAGGCTAAAGGGCTTGGAGGCCCTGGACGTGAGGCCTGGTCTGAGCACAGGCGTGGAGGTCAGTCTGGGGACTCATGCAGGCTGGTACAGGAGAGAGGTTCCTGAGGCAGATAACGCCATCAGCACTACTTAATGTGACACTCAGAAAGCCTGGCCTTCAGCCATGGAGTCGCCTGTGCAGATGTGAAGGTAAACACCACCGCAGGGCTGTTCTCTCGTCCCCGTCTTGACTTCCCACTCTGGCATTGTCTTGTGGCCTCTGTCTTGGCTGTCTGTAGCACCAACTTGGAGATACATGAGTGTTTAGACAGGTTCTCCGGTTACCCAACTGAAATCCATTCTTGGAAAGTTCATGTAAATCATTTTACAGTCCTGAACCTTCAGGATGTCACGTTGTTTCTGTGTATAGAAGTCACGCGTGCGTTACAGGAACACACAGTGTAGGAAGCCAGGGTCCTTCCCGAGTCACCCCTCCACACCCCTGCTTTCATGCACCTTTCCCATCATGTTGGTTTTGGACATGGCCACGTCTTTTTGCAAGGCTGCATTAGGTTTTCCAGTGCCGTTACACTGTCGTCTGCTGACCGGATATTGTGGAACTGTCCAGATGGCTTGCAGTCGACATCCTTTATTTAATGATCTCTGCGCCCGTGGATAGGTGTTCTGTGGAAGGAGGGAGCTCCGCTCTCTGCTTATTGATTTTATTCCTTCCCACTCACTGCCCACTGCTAGACCATGCTTGCTGCATCGGAAACCAGCATAGAGAAGAAGTGTTTGGGCTGTGAATGTAGGCTAAAGAGGTGAGGGACCACTGTTCTGCTCCCCTGGCCCACTTCAAATCACCTCCCGTCCAGCACGGCAGCCCCCAAGAGACAACTCAGCTTTCCATCTTCAGGGCAACTGGAGGCGTGAGGGGCACTGATAATTTGAACAGTGTTGTCTTTGGTTCCATTCTGCGTAGAGTGAGTTCTTCCCCTACGAATTCCACTTCATTTGTGGAAACCTGTTGGCCGGCTCACACCCTGGGAAGCAGTTGCCCTGATGAAGGAAGATCTTAGGTGGGGGAGGGGACCCCATGGACAATCCTCCACAGGTAAGAAGGAGTCAGGGCCTCTAATATGGCCTGGAGCATCCGGCACCTCCCCTGCCAGCTGCGCCTGCAGGGGTGCAGGGACAAGGGGGTGGCCCCAGTTGACCAGAGTTAACTGTAGTCATCAGACAGATGAAGGCCGTCGGGCTGGAGACCCTCGTAGTGCTATAAAGAGAGTTTTGGGGTTTGCTTTCTGGGGAAAGACTGAATGCCCTGTTTGCGTGCTGTCCCATCTCCTCCCGTGGGACATGAGGGTCCACCCCACCCATTCATGCTGTTTTTCCTCTTGTTCCCTCCCCCGCCTGCACCTCCTTGCTGACAGTTTCAAAAAACAATGTTTTTATGCCATCAAGCTTCTGCGAGCCATCTGCAGGCAATTCCGACTCAGACCCAGGTGAGCCCCCGCCCCTCTGCCTTCCCGCCCAGCCTGGGGGTTCTCCTGGGAGGAAAAGCAATTGGTGTTGGAAAATCAGATCTTCAGCGGGTATTTAAAGTCAGTCCTTTTTCAGCTGTTAAAATTTTCCTCCAACTCTTCAGCTTATAGTTTGGGGATCTGGCGTGAGATGAGGCTTCATAAGCCCTTATGTTTGTTTCTGCAAGCAGGGCTTGGTTGCATGGGGCTTTAAGTCCTCTAAAAACAACCTGTAAAGAAATGCATTACTCATTTTTCAAAATTTTACACAAGTAATGCATTCATAATTGGGTTTTTTTGGTTTTTTAGATGGAGTTTCACTCTTTTGGCCCAGGGTGGAGTGCAGTAGCACGATCTCAGCTCACTGCAACCTCCACTTCCCGGGTTCAAGTGATTCTCTTACCTCAACCTCCCGAGTAGCTGGGATTACAGGCGCACACCACAACGCCAGGGTAATTTTGTATTTTTTAGTAGAGATGGGGTTTCACCTGTTGGCCAGGCTGGTCTTGAACTCCTGACATCAGGTGATACGCCCGCCTCGGCCTCCCAGAGTGCTGGAATTACAGGCATGAACCACCGCACCTGGCCCATAATTGTTTTTTCTTTAAATCAGAAATATTTTAAGTAAAAAGAATTCCTGCCCCTTCCCCACTCACGCTGCCATCCCAGAGGTAGCTACGCCTGTGAAGTTGGTGAATTTCCAGACCCCTTTTCAGTGTATTAAATTCTCACATTAATGTTGCTTAGATCTACCTAGATAAATATGTTTAATCACAGCTTCAAAACTTTGTGTGTGTTTTGGAGATGGAGTTTCACTCTTGTCCCCCAGGCTGGAGTGCAGTGGGACGATCTCGGCTCACTACAACCTCCGCCTCCTGAGTTCAAGCAATTCTCCTGCCTCAGCCTCCCAAGTAGCTGGGATTACAGGCATGTGCCACCATGCCCGGCTAATTTTTGTATTTTTAGTAGAGATGGGGGTTTCACCATGTTGACCACGTTGGTCTCGAACTCCTGACCTTGAGGTGAACTGCTCGCCTCAGCCTCCCAAAGTGCTAGGATTACAGGCGTGAGCCACCACATCCGGCCCCCAGCTTTAAAATGTTAAGGACAGCCGCTCCCCCTTTCTGAAGAATATGGAGCCTGCCTTTTTGGTCTTTCACTGGAGAACCAACTCGAAGGTTTCCTGAAAGTTTCTCCCATGTGGCTGAAATTCCTCATAAAAGATTTAACGAGCAAGTTTAACAACCTGAATTCTGTAACCCAACCTACCTTATATAAATTCATTGCCGACTTCAAAAGCATTGTGAGATAAGTTAGCCGCTGGCGTGACGTCCGTGTCAAGGGAAGAGGTGGGTTTTTATAACTCTGAGCATTGAGTTGATGGCTCCGTTTCAAAGAGTCATTTTGACTCTAAAAGCAGACTGTTTTGAGCCAACCGCCTGTTCTCGTCCTGCAGAGGGGCTTTGGTGTTTCAAGGTTCTCAGGAAGGGCAAAAGGAAGGGTTATTCCCGGGGTGTCACTTAGCAGGTGGTGGTCTGGACGGGAGCCTGCCGTGGTGAGGCAGGTTCTGCTTTAGGTGATCAGTTTCTAAAGCCGTGTGTCTGGACCCATTTGTGCTGCTGAGCTCTGTTACAAATCTCATGATCACTTCTGAGGTCTGTGAGCAAGGCCTCCCTCCTGTCTGTCTGCCCACAGACCTCTCCCCTCCAGTCTCAGGAGCAGGCAGCTGTTTCGCAGGCCCCGACACGGCATGGTTAAAGCCCCAGCGCCCTCACGCATGAAAAGCCAGTCATGTTAGCCTCACATCTGTTCTGCAAAGCCACCTTCACATCCTTGTCTGCCTGCATTCTGTTTTTTAGCTTTAATTTTGAAAAGCTTTAACACAGAAGAATTTATCTGTCCCTTTTATCTGGAGACCCCATTTAGCTTTCTCCAGTCGGCTCCATGAGTCCATTAGGAAAAAGGACTCAGACCCTGGTCCTACGTCACATACCTCCACTTTCATCAGGAATGGGTCTTCAGGCTTCCCTTGACTTTCATGACCTCAAGGATTACAGGTCAGCTGTTGGGTAGAAGTCTCTCAGTTGGGGCCTGTCCAGTGTGTCCTGGTGGTGAGACCCAGGTGTGGCGTCTTGGATGAGAACGTCACAGAAGCCATGCACAGTACTCATTTGTCCCCTTACCAGCACGGAGTAGGAGTAGCTGTGACCTCGATCAGGGTGCTGTCTGCCAGGTTTCGCCACTGTAAACTTACTTTCCCCTTTGTGCTGGATGGTTTCTGAGAGACACTTTAGACTCCGGGACTGTGTGTACCTTGTCGCACTCCTGCCCTCCAGTGCTCACTCCCAGTGATGTTTTCAAAGTGATGTTTCCTGCTGACAACTGCCCCATGGGTTTCTTCCTTTTTTTTTTTTTTTTTTTTTTTTTTTTCCTTTTTTAGAGACAGAGTCTCCGCTTCTTGTTGCCCAGGCTGAGGGCGGTAGGCACAATCTTCGGCTCATGCACCTCTGCCTCCAAGTTTCAGCGAGATTTCTCGGGGTGACGGCACCTCTCAGAAGGTAGCTGTAGGATTCGCCCACGCGGTGGATTGCTTTGGCAGCGCATCCTGCTGGTTGCGTTGATTAGTGGTGTTTCCGTGGAAGGAGGAGCTTTGCCGTCTGTCCGAGCCGCGCTGTTTGTTGGATTTTTCTTTTTTTGTTTTTTTTTTTCGGGACGGAGGATCCGATCGCTGTGTCGCCAGGCTGGGATGAGGTGGCGGATCTCAGCTCACTGCAGCTCGCCCCTCGCGGGTTCCTGATGTCTCCGTTGCCTCAGCCGCTCCGGGAGTAGCTGGATACAGGGCCCGCGGCGACCTTCGCCCGGGGCGTATTTTTTGTTTTTTTAGTAGAGGCGGTTTCACTGTGTTATGGCAGATGACGGGATCTCGATCTCCTGACCTCGTGATCCGCCCGTCTCGGCCTCCCAAAGTGCTGGGATTACAGGCTTGAGCCACCGTGCCCGGCCGTGTTTGTTGATTGATTGTGTCAACATGGACAGATGAGCTTCTGTTGGCATCAGTGGGTGACCGTCTGTGGTTACTGGTTTTTATTTAATGTTCAGATTGTCCTGGATTCGGCCAGTGGAAGCTCTGTCAGGCAGGTCCCCATTATTGTTTTGAGCACTTACCTTACTTTGTTGCAACAGGAGTCTCCCAGCTCAGCTTCTTTTCTCATCCCAGTCCTGGAATCTGCATTTCTCAGAGGCACGCTGGTTCTTCACGGAGCGTGGTCTTTAGAAACCGAGGTCTGAGTGCTTGGTGCGGCACTGCGATCTCACTGCCTCAGGTGTAGCCCTGCTTCTGGCCCTCTGCAGACAGAGCTGGGGACACACACGTTTGTCCACATGATCTGTCACTCTGTCTACCTGCCGGCATGTGGAGATGACGCCAGGGGCATGTGGGTGCCTCCCTTGGTATATTCTGCCCCTCTTCTGGCACTAAGAAACCGGCACCCTCTGTCCTCCGTGCATCGGGCATCACCCCCTGCCCACCCCATGGCTGAGCCTCCTCCCCACTCTGCACCAGCGCCATCCATGCACAGACCATGCACACTCCAGCCAGGCCGCCTTCTCAGCATCTGATGGACACAGTCTCATTCCCATCCCTTCCCTGGTTAAATTGGGACTCCCTGGGGGGTAAGCATGGCTTCCCGCAGACATCACTTGGGGCTCTCTGAGGCAGGCGAAAAGCACCCTCAGACAGGGAGCCTGCTGGCTTCCCAGGAGGGCAAAGGCTGCCAGCGGGAGGGGTCCTCTTCCTCTCTGGAGTGATACGCGTCCCTCAGAGACTGGTGCAGCATCCTCTAGGGCCCTCACCCCTTGGGTATGTGGCGGGCATCAGGTTCTGGCCATGATTCAGCAACTTGTGTTGCGAACTGTGTTGCGGAAGAAAGTTTCCGGAAGGAGAAGAGACCACCCTTGTTTTCATGGAGCAGGGCCTGTGACAGGGACCTCCAGAGTTTGGCTGCCCCTGGAGCGCACCTTGTCTGCCTGCAGCTCTGGAGAGGGCCAGCCTCTGGGCCCAGCACTAGTGGCAGGTCGGCAAGGATTATCCAAGCCTCCCACTTTGCCTGGCAGCTTGGGCCAGCTCCCAGGCTCCCCTCAGTGTTAGCGCCAGCTCTGCACGGAGCAGAGTGTGGAAGGGAGTGGAGTCAGTCTGTGGCCAAAACATCAGCATGGAGAGCCAGCTTGAAGAGCTTGCTAAAAATTATCTAAATTGTGAATTTGACCTTTTAACAATGTATCTAAATTGCCAGCCTTCTCCTGCATAGCTCCGTGCTTTGGAAATGTAATTGAGTGTTTCCTTCGGAAAAGGAACATCTGGTGGCTCACCCCCGCATCCTGCAGAATTTCCTGAGTTTGTTTTTTATGACCAGTGTATTACGGGAGAGGCACCAGGTCTGCTAACACAGACTGCCAGAAGCCCCTGGGGCTCAACTCCTTCATACAACTATTATAGTAAGAAGGGTTGCTGCAATCCTCTTGCTGCCCAGGCAGAGCGGCGCCTCCGGGGCACGGCGGGAGAGGGATCTTCCTTGGCCTGCTAAATCTTGATTTGATTTTGGGTCTGAAGATGTGGGCTGACAAGGCGTTTTGGGTTTTGTCGTCATCGTTTTAGTGTACAATTGAGTGGTTTTAGTACATCCACAGAGTTGTGCGACCATCGTGATTAATTTTAGAACATTTCCATCCCAAAAAGAAACCTCATCGCCGTTAGTCACAGCGGGCCCCCAGCTCCCTCCCTGAGCCCTGGTAACCGCTCAGCTCCTTTCTACCTAGTTGGACATTTCATAGAATTGGAATCAGATGACTTTTGGGGGTGTCTTTCCATTGATTTACACCTTTACTTTCTTCAAACAATGTTTTTGTTTTGTTTGAGACAAGGTCTTGCTCTGTCACCCAGGCTGGAGTGCAGTGGTACAATCATAGCTCACTGCAGGCTCAAGTGATCTTCCCACCTCAGCCTCCTGAGTAGCTGGGACTACAGGCGTGTACCACCATGCCTAGCTAAGTTTTTAATTTTTTGTAGAGTTAGGGTCTTGCTATGTTGCCCAGGCTGATCTCAAACTGTTGGGCTCATGCAGTCCTCCTGCCTCAGCCTCCCAAAGCTCTGGGATTACAGGCGTGAGCCACTGCAGCCAGCCCCAACATTGTTTTATAGTTTTATTTTGTGAAATGTATTCCCAAGTGTTTTCTTTCTTTTGGTGTTATTGTAAATGGAATTATTTTCTTAATTTTGCTTTTGGGTCATTCACTGCTAGCGTTAGAAGCACAATTGATTTGTGTATATTGATCTTGTGTCCTGTGGCTTGACGGGGGGTGAAACTTAGCATGAACGCAGGGCCCCCTCCAGGAGCCATAAAACCACAGTCTCTGTGCCTTGCCCAGGAACAGGCTTGCCTGCCTGAGTCACAGGCCTCTTATGACAATCCTTCCTGGTGTGGATCAGATTAGACCACCATCCCTACTCCTTGTATGGGCGCAGTTGCCAAGACACACAGATGAAGGGGTCCATGTGGACAGGTGGCTGGGCGAGGCTGGGCTCTCGCGCCATCCCGGGAGCCCCTGAGCATTCGCCTTTCCCTCTAGCTTTGTGAACTTGTCAGCCCAAACTCCAGCCTGGGGGGAGCTGGCCCCCTCCACGTGGCCAGGAGTGCTCCCTCACTGAGACAGGAAGCTCGGCAGGCACATCTGGAAAGGAGAGGCAGGAGCACTGTCTGCCACCTTTGACCTTTTCACCATAAAAACCTGTCTCACTTCCCAGACATCTGTAGTGGTGCCAAGGTTCTTCCTGGCCACAGATGCTTGCTCTGACGGACAAACCTTCTAGGAAAGGGAAGCAGGGCCTGGGCGCCTGTGTTCTGTGGCTCCCTGACATTCTCCAGGGCCAGGTGCAGGGCCGCTGAGCAGCTCAGCTCCTGAGCGCGCAGCAGGTCTCAGGCTGCTGGGAAGGCAGCTGATGCCCTGCCTGTCCCCGTGGTCAGCAGCTGGCCCAAGAGTGGTCGTTCCTCCTGCCCTTGCCTCTCCCTCCTCCAGGTGCCTTCCAGGCCTGCTGATCGGACGGGACTTCTATTGTAATTTGGAAATGTTCTCCCTGGTTCTCCAGGCCCGAGGTCACTGAGGCCAAGAACATAGTCCTGTCCTGCCCTTGCCCCCCAGGCCCAGCCCCCACCCAGGCAGGCCTGCTGTTGATCTTTTGTCTTGTGCTTTTAGAGGAAAGGAGCAGTGGCTTCCGGTTGAAGCCGCCAACGCTGATCCATGGCCAAGCCCCCAGCGCAGGTAGGTCACCCACCTCCCTGGGGCGGGGGGTGGCTTTCTGACGTTTTTCAGACCTCTGCTTGGCCAGACCAGGATACCACAGGCTCAGCTTGATTTCTAGAAAGTTCACTTGTAACCTGACCCATGAGCCCTGGAAAGTTCCTTTAAAGAGAGGCTGTCCAGCAGGGAGGTTGGGACCCCTGGTTGTGAGCCTTGTGTGCTCAGAAAAGTGGGCGGTGGTTGCACGGGAGCATGCTAGGCTTGGGGTGCATCGGGCAGGCTCTGCACCCAGCAGTAGCGCACTTGGTTCAGCCTGTCCTGCGTGTTCTGGCCCCCACATACCACAGTGTTCACCCCAGTTAGCAGGGTGGCTGTATTCCAGCGGCGCGCTGCTGGGGAGCCGGCTGCTAGTGAGGCTGCCAGGGATGCTGCACAGGGCAGGGCACGTGCAGGGGTCCTTGCCCTGTCTGCCTTTGGCAGAGGGACTTCTTCAGCATGGCTGTTTTGAAAAACAGGTGCAAAACGTGCCTGTACCTGACCCCACATCGAGTCCTCAGCCTCCGGGTAGCTGCCTGTGAATTCACTGCTCTCCCCTTAGTCTCCACCTGACTGTTCAGTCCAGCTCACAGAGAACAGCTGTCCCTCAACGCCCCACCACGCTACCGTGCTAACTGGATTAATTCACAGATATCAGTTACTGGGAATTTCACTTAATCATATAGAAAAATGCCAAATCTGTCCAGTTGTTAAAAAAAGACCTCAAGTTTTTTAAAAAGTGCTTCCCTGCAAAGTGTAGCCCGCAAGGGGCGTGGAATGGGTTGTCTCTGAAGCGCCTGGGGGCAGGCAGGGGTCCACGGGCACTGGGAAGGCCACCTTCTGTTCCCAGGTCTGCCAAGCCAGAAGCCCAAGGAGCAGCAGCGGAGCGTGCTTCGCCCGGCAGTGTTACAGGCTCCGCAGCCAAAGGCACTGTCCCAGACTGGTAAGAAACGGCAGCCCTGGCGCCCAGGCCCAGACGGCAGGGTAGAGCGTTCCTGAAGTCGCACCCGGGATAGCAGTGTTGTGACAGAGGTGACTGCTGAATGCACCAGAAATACAGAGAGATCAGGGAAGATGATCCTTTAAATCACCCCCAACTCCAAGCCTCCCGAGCCCTAGCAACGGAGGAGTGAGAGGCGGTTCCACAGCTTCCTCACAGCTCTCGGCCGAGTGTGACTGTGTGGGTGAAACCTGCTTTGTTCATTCACAGTCTTCATAAAAGCAGGCCGGCTCCTGGGAATGAGATTTATCCCTGTGTGTTTACAGACAGAATTGCAGCCTCAGTTTTCACAGGTTATCTTTAAAAACTTGAAAGGTCATTTTTTTTTTAAATTTTATATTTTTTATATATATATAGATGGGGTCTTGCTCTGCCTCCCAGACTGGAGTGCATTGGTGCAGTCATAGCTCACTGCAGCCTCGAACTCCTGGGCTCAAGCGATCCTCCCACCTCAGCCACCCAAGTAGCTGGGACCACAAGTGTGCACCACCGCACCCAGCTAATTTGTTTTATTTTATTTAAGAAACGGGGGCTTGCTCTGTTGCCCAGGCTGGTCTCAAACTCCTGGTCCCAAGCAGTCTTCCCGCTTCAGCCTCCCAAAGCACTGGGACCACAGGCATGAGCCACTGTGCTCGGCCGGTTTCTCTTGTTTTTTTTTTAATCCAAGAATTTTGACTCTTTGTAGAGATACCAGGTCCTTCCTTAAAAAGGAGACATGTGCTATGGGCTTTACCATGGGAGGGGTCCTAGACTAGACGTGGCCCAGCCCCTCAGCTACGTGAGTTGGGGTGGGAGGGCCGCCAAGCACCTGTGATTCCCCACTCTCCTTCCCTCCCACAGTCCCCAGCAGTGGCACCAACGGGGTCAGCCTCCCAGCAGACTGCACGGGGGCAGTGCCAGCAGCATCCCCTGACACTGTTGCACGGAGAAGTCCTTCTGAAGCTGCCGATGAGGTGTGTGCACTTGAGGTCAGTGGGTCCTGGGGCAGGGAAGTGCTGCGTGCTGGACCCCTGGGGAGCGGGAGGGCAGCTTCCCAGCACGCTGTGGAGTCCACACACTGTCGCCTGTTCCGAGCAGTTTCCACGTAGGCCTATTGTTAGGCTCTCTGGATTTGCTCGGTAGGCTCTGTGAATAACAGTAGCTGACAAACCAAATAACTAGATTCCCAAGGTGGTCTTGCTGAGTCAGTCTGAAGAAGTGTCTCCCAAGCAAGTTCTGCTGGAAGGGCCTGTTGCCCAAGGCTGACCGCCACGTGTCTCAAGGGAGTGATCCTTGAGGGAGGACCTGAACCACTGCACTCCGGGGAGTCACTAGGGCCTGAGGAACGGCTGTCGCTGTTGGGTGTCTTGCAACATTTAACGTGAGGAATGTCTCCCCTCTCTTCGTCCACACCCACGCCATCCTCAGAGACTCCCATCTGTGTGGTTCCATTTGAAAAATTTGCCTTGGGAGTCATCTCAGAAATAGTTCGTTTAGGCCGGGCACAGTAGCTCACACCTGCAATCTCGGCACTTTGGGAAGCCGAGGCAGGTGAATTGCTTGAGGCCAGGAGTTCAAAACCACACTGGGCAACATAGCAAGACTCTGTCTCTACAAAAAATACGCAGATTAGCCAAGCATGGTAGCATGTACCTGTAGTCCCAGCTACTCAGGATGCTGAGGCTGGATGATTGCTTGAACCTGGGAAGGGGAGGCTGCAGTGAGCCGAGGTCGCGCCACTGCATTCCAGCCTGGGCGACAGAGCCAGACCATGCCTTAAAAAAAAAAAGAAATAGTTCTGTTTAAGCGGGATATGGATTGGATTATATGGGCCAAAAGCGGTGTTTCACAGCCTCTGTGAAATAAGGGACGTTGATGAAGAGCCTCCTTTGAAGTTGGCAGAGATGGGTTTAAAGTCAGAGTTGGGGTAACACCACGTGATATCTTCCGTGTAAAAGCCAGATTGGATCTTTGTGTTTATTTTCCGCTCTGTGTCCATGGCCTGCGGTTTTATACCTCCCATCCCCAGTAGACGCTCTGGCTCAAAGGGTGAAAATAGCTGTCCACAATTAAATTTGAAAACATCCTCACGCCCTTTTTCAAACGAGTTTGCTGAATTGGAAATAGGGATCACTTCCATTGCATACTGCGGCTTGGAAGCTTTGACTGCTGAGGTCCGAGCAGATCAGATGTATGGTTCTGAGTTGGAGAAGGACTTAGAAGTGACCCAGCCCATCCCACCCTCTCCCAATGTCTCTGATTGTCCCTGACGGTGAGCGCACAGGCTGACCTGGCCACACCCACTACCAAGAGCTTGCCCCTCGCTGGAGAGGCCTTGCTCTGTCCCATCCCAGGGGACATAGTCCCTCTTCCTGCCGGTTTGAGCCCCTCCTCAACAGTGTACACAGCTTGTTCCCAAATCGTTGAGCTCAGAAGTTGTGATGTGCCATCTTCCCTCCAGCAGACTGGCCAGTCCCAGTAGCTAATGTTGATCCTTGGGCCCCATGGGCCACTGGCTGCCATTCCCAGCTCCTGCATCTGGCTCCAAAGCCACTGCTCCGTGTGGGTCCGGGATGGAGCCACGCAGCCACACCCACACTGCCCTCTGACCACACCCAGTGCTGTTGAGATTCGCCAGGCTCGCCATGTGTATCTTTCTCTGGCCCTGCAGCAGGAGCCCGAGCTTTTCCACGCCACCCACGAACATGACACACACTGCTCATCAGGAACGTGAGCTAAGTGAAGCATCTCCTCTAAGGAGGGCTTAGATGTTGGGGCGACCCATGGGGGAACTTCTGGTACTGTCTTTGGGAAAGTGGGGAAGAGGCTTCCCCTCCTGCCCCACACACACAGAGTCTAAGACTGGTTACAGGCCTTGGGATTCACTCATCAGTTTAAGTGAATCCTCTAAGCAGGCCCCGCCAGGTCATAGACATACGCTGTGGTCAGAAACATTTTGCTGTTTGCCTGCCCCCTCTCAGGTGACTCTGTGGGTTCCGCCCACCCGGGATTAGCAGCAGTCAGTGTGAGCAGGGGGCGCACAGCACACAAAGCCAAGAGCCAGGGAGTGTTTCTGCCGGAAGTGCGTCCCCCCACCATCTGCAGGCAGCCCCAGTGGGCCTGGGGATTAGCCCATCCTCTGAGGACTTCCAGGTCGCCAAACACGGTGTGTGTTTAATTTTTAAAAGCCACGTTCACTCTTGCACAGGCACAGGGATGCAGCATGAAGTCAGCAATAGCAGAATTTCTAGGGAGCACAGTAGAGAAACATTTAAACTCTTCACTTTCTTCACAGTTGGACCAGAAAGTGCCCTCAGTGCTGTGATTCGCTGATTCTGGGCCTGGCACTGTAACTCCAGGCTTCCCTGCCTGCTGGACACACTGAGGCAGTCAGAAGCTGCCTGCAGCCTTTCTCAGCTCCGAGTTCATGGTTGTCAGGGCCCTTCACAATATCTCCCAGGAAAACGCTCCCTGCCTCATGTTCGTGTCCACTGTACACATTCCCAGAGACCTACCAAAAGCCTTTTAAAATTTCTTTTCAAATTCTACACCTTTTTTATCATGTAGTGTAAGAAAGACATATACAAATTACTAGCAACTCCATATTCCATTATCTCAAGATAAATGCATTTGGTCTTAGGCTATTTAGTTACAAAAGTCATGCCTGCATGTTGAAAATATTTACACAAAATGGAAATCCTAGAAAGTAACAAGTGGAAGCCACCCTCCAGCTGAGAGGTTCCCCCGGTAACCTCCGTCAGTGGTTTGAATTCTCTCTCGGCTTATTTCCTGAGCATTCCTACACACACACACACACACACACCCGTACCACATGCACACACACCACACATGCACACCACACGCACACACACCACATAAACAACCACACACACACCACATACACATAACACACGCACACATACCCCACACATACACATACCACACACACACCACACACCACATACACATACCACACACACCACATACACAAAACACACACACGCCACACACACCACACACATACCCCCACACACACCACACACACACCACACATACCACACACCACATACACAACCACACACCACATACATACCACACACACACACCACGCATACCACACACACAACCACACACACACCACATACACATAACACATGCACACATAACACACACCACATACACATACCACACACACACCACATACACACCACACACCACATACACATACCACACACACACCACATACACACCACACACCACATACACATACCACACACACATACACACACCACACATACCCCCCCACACACACACCACACATACCACACACCACATACACAACCACATACCACATACATACCACACACACACCCCACACATACCACACACACAACCACACACACACCACATACACATAACACATGGACACATAACACACACCACATACACATACCACACACACACCACATACACATACCACATACACACCACACACCACATACACATACCACACACACATACACACACCACACATACCCCCCCACACACACACCACACATACTCCACACACAGCACACACACCACACACACACACGGCACTGGGTTTGCTTTAACACAAATGGAATCGCACTTCTGTGTCCCACAAGCTGCTCTCTCCTGTGATCCATGTATTGTGGGCATGTCAGAGGTCTGCCTCCCTCTCGGTGGTAACAGCTATGCTGTACTTTTTTTCCCCGTATTTTCTAGCGTAAATCATTTTGTTCCTCAGCTAATGATGAGCATCTAGGTTATTTCCTGTCCTCTGCCAGCACCAAGGCTTCTGCAGGGCACAGGTGTTTCTTTTTTGTTGTTTGGAGATAGTTTCTTGCTCTGTCACCCAGGCTGGAGTGCAGTGGTGTGATCGTAGCTCACTGCAACTCCCAGGCTCAAGCAGTCCTCCTGTCTCAGCCTCCCGAGTAGCTGGGACTGCAGGCACGTGCAGAGGAGACGCGTGGAGTGCATGATCTTGTGTGGAATTGCTGGGCATCCGTCTGGGCCAAGTGTGGCACTGGTTTTGATTACTCTGTTTTGTTTTTGTTTTTGATAGGAGAAAGAGCCCCAGAAAAATGAGTCCAGCAATGCCTCTGAAGAGGAAGCCTGTGAGAAGAAAGGCCCCGCCACACAGCAAGCCTTTGTGTTCGGGCAGAACTTGAGGGACAGAGTTAAGGTATGTGAGCTGTTGAACCAGCTCATTGACTTTTTATGCCTTCCCTAGGTTCAACAGCAGGCAAGTCAGTAGATTTTCCTTTTAACAGGGGAGGGGAAACATGGGACAAAGAAGGTGTTAGTGAGGCAGCCCCGTGGCTCCCGGCACAGTCAGCTGCTGGCGTGCGTGTGCTGGGCCCTGGCAGTTCCCCACCAGCGGCCCAGGCTTTGGAGCCCTCACCTGCAGTGGCTTCTCAAGTCAGAGTCCCTGGTACTCATGGTAGCAGGGGACAGGGGAGGTGACTGAACCTGAGGCCTCAGGCTTTCATAGCAGAAAAGAAAGACAGCATGGTCCAGTGCTCTCAGCTCTGCCCGGAGGTTTCTGTTCCCGTATTTCAGGGCTTCTCCATTTCGACACTAGCAGCATTATGGCTGGACCATTCCTAGTTTCTGAGGAGTCACCCTGGACACTGCAGGGTGCTGAGCAGCATCACTGGCCTCCACCCACCCAATGCTCCTGACATCTAACAACCACAAATGTCCGCAGACGTGGCCATTATTCCCTGTGGGGTAGAATCGCCCCCATTAAGAACTGTCACCTTTTTTTTTTTAAGTGGGGCAGGGTGGGGTGACGACACAGTCTTCTCTCCTGAAAAGGAGCAAAGCATCTGCCACCTCTTGGCTGCCCTCCAGGCATGTGGTCCTAGTTTGCAGACTGTGGGGTGGGGAGGGGCTGGCAGTGGTTGGGAACAGTGGCCCTGGACCATGCACTGGGACTCTAGGAAGACCAGGGTCAGCCAGCAGCACCTTTCTCAGCCACAGACGTGGAATGTGCTACAGCATCTCTAGAAACTCCACTGGCCAGAAGTTTCTTTCAGAGCCCAAGAGGCGGCATCAGTGGCTGTGTCTAGAGACATTTGTGGTTGTCACAACTGGGAGGTACTTCTGGAGGCCAGGGATGCCACTCCACCCATCGCAGTGCCCAGGATAGCCACACCACAGGGAATGATCTGGGCCCAATGGCAATATGTCAGTAGTGTCGACGGGGAGGGCCCTCGAAATAGAAACCTCTCTAGCATGCAGAAAGGACCGGCTCACGTTTTCTGCTTTCCTTTCTGTTACTCACCGTCCAACAGAAGCCCCAGTCGAGAAGCATGGAAAGTTGATGTTGCTGTCGCCATGGCTTTAGGCAAAATAATGAGTCCCTCAGGGGCTGCTCCCTCCAAGGAGGAAAGGAGGGCAAGAGGCGGGGAAGGGCTTGGCCCGTGGAGCTCAGGCCCTGTGGAGTCTCTGCCTTGAGTCTGGGGAGACGGCTGCTTTGAATTTGGTGGGGTCGGCTTCTTGCAAAAGTCAGAGGCTTGCGTGCACTTCACAGTCTCAGTCAAATCCCAGCCTCTCCTTCCAGGGCAAACGTGAGCCATGGATTCTTTTTTTTTCTTTGGACACAGAGCCTTGCTGTGTCATCCAGGCTGGAGTGCAGTGGCATGATCTCTGCTCACTGCAACCTCCACCTCCAGGGTTCAGGTGATTCTTCTGCCTTAACCTCCCAAATATCTTGGATTACAGGCACCCACTGCCACACCTAGCTAATTTTTTGTATTTTTAGTAGAGGTGGGGTTTCTCCATGTTGGCCAGGCTGGTCTCGAATTACTGACCTCAAGTGATTCCCCCCCAGCCTCAGCCTCCCAAAGTGCTGGGATTACAGGCATGAGCCACTGCGCCCAGCCAGAGCCGTGATTTCTTAACCCTCTGAGCCTCTGCTTCCTTGTTGGTCCCTAACATCCCCCTCTCAGGCTTCATGAGGATTAAAGGAGATCGTGCATTTGACAGACTCAGCATAGCAACTGGTAGGAAAGAGGCCCTCAAGAAATGCTGTTTCTATCATGTTCATAGTAAACCCCCCAAAACACCAACTTTGTAACATTGTGTTCTCCGTACAAAGCGTTGACCAAGAGGCCAGCTTAGGTGTGGTTTTATAACAAGATGGAAAAGGCTCCCTGAAGCCTCATGAGCTCTCTTTCCGTCTTAACTGTTAAAGCAAAAGGTGGTGGAGTTGATTACAGCCCTGCCCCCCAGCACGTGCATGTGCACACCCAGCCGGGTGCAGGAGAGGGCTCATGACTCCCGGCAGCTCCATGCAGCTCAGGGGCTCTGCAGACACCACCCCACCCCCGATTACTGAGCGCTTTGTCTCATTCCCAGCTGATCAATGAGAGCGTGGACGAAGCTGACATGGAGAATGCTGGACACCCCAGCGCAGACACGCCAACCGCAACGAACTATTTCCTTCAGTATATCAGTTCCAGGTGTGTGTCTTGGGCCCAGCGGCCAGCCTAGCATGGGGATGCAGGTGGCCGCAAGGGCTTCTGCCACAGAGGGGTCTGTGGTCCCCGTGCCTGACTCAGACCCACAATCCAGGTTGCTCTTGGGCCTGTCTCTCATTCCCCACTCTGGGCACAACCGTGGGTGGGCCAGGATTGTAGGCCTTGTTCTGTGATTCACTGGACGCCTGAGACAGGACCAGAGTTCTGTGGACTTGTCCAGGGGCCCATGGAGGATACAGCCCAGCCCTTGGAGTGTGCCCTCTGTCTTGCGGACCTCATGCCCAGAGCAGAACAGAGCAGGCTAGAGGCGACTCCTTATCCTGGGTTTGGGCACCTGGGGCAAAGACCTCAGCATGCCCTTGATTGACGTGGCTGGGGGTGATGCTACCCACGGCCCAGCTGCCCCTCCAGGTATCTCAGAAGAAAGCGTGTCCCGCCTGGGAGATGGGCAGGCGGAGCAGCTGGAAGGTGGCTTCCCTCATACTGTGGGTCCCTCCGTCAGAGCGAGCTAAGGGCTCATGTTTCCAACGGCACAGGGAGGCATGTGGCTTCCTGCCTCTGACACGCCACCCTGTGCACAGTAGGGGAGACCCCTCCACTGTGCCCTCTGCGCCAGTGTGTGCTCCATGGGTGCCCACACATTTGCCTAGCCACATTCCCACGTGACACCCCCACACTCACTGCACATCTTCTCTTCAGTTTAGAGAACTCAACCAATAGTGCCGACGCCTCCAGCAACAAATTTGTATTTGGCCAGAACATGAGCGAACGAGTTTTGGTGAGTGGCCGTGTTGGGAATGTTCTTGGGGACCAGAGGTGCTCGGCACCAGCCCCAGATCGAGGGGACATGGAGAGCGGGGCTGCTGTGTTGTCCTTTGTGAGATGGGGATGGCTTCAGTAACAAGTGAGAGAGGGAAGACCCTGCTCAGACTTGGCGTGAAAACTGTCCGGGGCCACTGGCCACCCAGGAGCTGGCATTCGCTCTTCCCAGCTCCTTCCTGCTGACCAGGGCCAGCTTCATCCCAAGATGGGCTTCCCCGGAGGCTGCAGGGCCCTGCTGGCAGTCAGAGTCCACGGTCCTCCCCACCAGGCCAACTGACAAAAGTCGTGTGGGACAGGGCTGCCGGCCTCCCTGCTCCTGTGAGCACAACCGCGGCCAAGGCTTTGAGTGCAAGAAAGGCCTGTCTCCGTTCCCAGGAGCCCAGCCAGCCTGGGAGAGGGTTCTAGAATGGCTTGCCTACCTCTTTACATGTGTTCCTTTTTCTTCCTGATTCCACCCAGCTCCACTGTGACTGCATGAGGGCCTGTCCTGAGCTGCCCGGTCACTCTAGCTGTCTTGAGTTATGCTGCATTAAGGACTCTGCAGCTTCTCTTCCTTTATGGCCACGCTGCCTTTTTTCTGTTTCAATGAAATAGTCAAAGTGTTGCCTCACTCAAACGGAGTGTCCAGTGTGGTCCGAGGGGACTGTCGGCTGGTGGCACTCACCCCCTGCTGATGCCTGAGGGACCACGTGGGGAGCTCCCAGGCAGTTCAGGGTGTCACCAGGAGCGGGCAGGAGTGCTGGGGGCAGCATGGTGTTGGGGGCCAGGCAGAGAGGTGCTCAGAGCTGCAGCTGAAGGACCACACAAGCTCCCTCTTCCTTGTATGCCTGCAGAGCCCCCCAAAATTAAACGAGGTCAGTTCAGATGCCAACAGGGAAAATGCAGCTGTCGAGTCAGGGTCTGAGTCCTCGTCCCAGGAGGCCACCCCTGAGAAAGGTATGTTACCGTCTTGCCGCTGCATGGGGCTCATGGTAGGTCATCTTGGGGGATGATGAGGGGATGCTGGGTCCATTCACACCCCCAGCCGGGAGGGATAAGGGGCCCAACTCCCGCAGCAGTAACGACCACACATCAACCAGCTACTAAGCCAGGGCCGTGACCTCCAGGGTCCTGCCTTGCAGTGAGCAGAGACAGGGGTTTATGATAAGACTGTTACTCGAGGGGCTGTGTCGCCTTGTGGCTGTGGGGAGGGTGGGGAGGCGCAGACAGCAGGCATGGAGGAGTCCCTCACTGTCCCCCTGTCCTCTGCTCAGCAGGAACAGGAGAGTCTAGGGCCACACTTGGCCCCCAGATGGTCTCCCTGCAGCTTCCGAGACCGTGTGCCCTGGCTGTGTCTAGGGACCACTTGGGTTGCCAGGTCGGGCCTGCCAGGGGCAGCTGGCGTCCTTGAGACCAGAACCGACCCTCTCATCTCCTGTGAGCTGCATGCTCTCCCCTCGCCAAATAATTAGTCAGTCTTTTTGGCCAATAACTTTTCAGAGTCCCTGGCCGAGTCGGCAGCCGCCTACACCAAGGCAACAGCGCGGAAGTGTTTGTTGGAAAAAGTGGAAGTCATCACCGGGGAGGAGGCGGAGAGCAATGTGTTACAGGTGAGGGGCCGGCCCCTCCTCGATGGCCCTGGGTCTTCCATGCACCAAGGGCTGGGCGCACATCCTCTGAGCACACAGGCCTACCCCTGAGATGACAGAGGGGCCACTGGCCCTACGCTCTGGGACTTTGTTGGTGGCGCTTGTAGAGAGCTTAGGCTCTCTCTGCAAGGGGTTTCTTGCATGTCTTTAGTTTCAGAGGAGGATGATCTGTTTGAGACACTCTTTTGTTTTGTTTTAAATTTTTTTGAGACAGGGTCTTACTCTGTCATCCAGGCTGGAGTGCAGTGGCACGATCTTGGCTCACTGCAACCTCTGCTTCCTGGGTTCAAGAGATTCTCGTGCCTCAGTCTCCTGAGTAGCTGGGATTACAGGGGTGCACCACCACACCCGGCTAATTTTGGTATTTTAGTAGAGACAGGGTTTCACCCTGTTGGCCAGGCTGGTCTTGAACTCCTGACCTCATGTGATCCGCCCGCCTTGGCCTCCCAAAGTGCTGGATTACAGGCGTGAGCTCCCGCGCCCAGCCTGAAACATTCTTGATGGTTCAGGGAATGACGAAGACTGTCATAACAAACATCTCTTGTAACCCAGAGCTAACTGTATTTGTCACCTGACATCCTGTGGTGTCTTCGTAGGGAAAAAAATCAGGTGCAGCCAGAGCTTCCATCCCACTGTCCCCTGTTGGCATCCCCCATCCCCTTCTCCTGAGGCCACACCACCCAGGTTGGGCAGCATCCATCTGCTTCCTCTCCTGTGGCACATAAGCATGTGTCTGTGTCTGTAAACCAGGTGGCGTATTGTGGGGTTTTTAAGAACACTGCTTTTTTTTCCCCACTTACATTTTGTAATCTGTTCATGTTGAAAGAGATTGACTTAGCAGGTATGTGGAAAGCCATGTAGGGGTGTCTGTCTCGTATTTTTCTTTGTTTATATATACACAACCGCTGCATTGAAATAGAGTACACATGCTATATAATCCACCCTTTTAAAGCATACAATTCCATGGTTTCTAGTATATTCACAGAGTCAGACAACTTTCACCACAATCTAATGTACATTTTTGCCCCCAAAAAGAACACTGTCCCATTCCCCCAGAAAGAGCATTGTCCGTTCACAGTCGCTCTTCGTCCCTCCCCAGCCCCTGGCCGCCACAAATCCACTTCGTGTCTGTCCTTGACATTTCATATGAATGGCGTCAGTGCACTATGTGGCCTTTCGTGTCTGGCTTCTCGCACTGAGCCAGGGGTTCATCCACCTTGCGGCAGGGGTTGGAGCCTGATTCTTCCTTAAGACTGAGTGAGATGCACTGTGGGGACAGGCCACATGTGTTCGTCCATTGCTCCTTGAGGCTGGGCTACGGCGAATGTGTGCGTTCATGTGCGATCTGTGTGTGAACACGAACAGATGTTCCATTTCTCTTGGGTACATACGGAGGAATGGAATTGCCCGAGCATGTGGTAATTCCTTGTTGAGCACTTTGAGGAGCCGCCAGACTCTCTTCCACAGCAGTGGCACCGTGCGGCCTTCCCACCGGCAGTGTGTGAGGGTTCCAGCTTCCCCCCGTGGGTACAGCCATCCTAGAGTGCACAGAGAGGTTTCTCACTGTTGTTTTGCTTTTCATTTCCTTAGTGATTCTTTTAATTTCCGACATCCCTTTTAGAACGTAAAGCCTGTTCTAGCTTGAGGGCAGGACAAAAACACTGACCAAGGTGGCCCCCAGGCCATCACTGGCCAGCCCTGGCAGTCCACACAGGCTAAAGGGCGTCTCTCAGGGTGTGGCTGCAGCAGGACACCAGCTGGGGTCCCTGCTCACCGGCGGCTACTGTGTTCCAGATGCAGTGCAAGCTGTTTGTCTTCGACAAGACCTCACAGTCCTGGGTGGAGAGAGGCCGGGGGCTGCTCAGACTCAATGACATGGCATCCACGGACGACGGCACGCTACAGTCCCGACTAGGTGAGCTGCAGAGGGCTGGGCTGTGGCCACAGGAGGACTGGGGACTGTGCAGTTGCAAAGGGAACGAAGCTGGGGAGATCCTGACCCTACCCTTGTGAGAGTCAAGGCACAGAGTCGGTCCCCCATGAGAGCTGCCCCCCAAACCCACTCCCTGCTCACAGCCCTCAACACCACCCTCGCACACTGGCTCCAGCTGCCAGCTTGTCCGTGACTCTCTTAGTGTCAAAATGGACAAAAGTCTATGGAAGTTTTTAAACTGATTTTCTGACAGTGAAAGTGGCAGGTTTATGATAGAAAGGAAAACAAAATCAAACATCAAGTCTAATCTCTTCATAAAGAGAAATTTTGGCCGGGCACGGTGGCTCACACCTGTAATCCCAGCACTTTGGGAGGCTGAGGTGGGCGGATCACCTGCGGTCAGGAGTTCAAGACCAGCCTGGCCAACATGGCAAAACCCTGTCTCTACTAAAAATACAAAAATTAGGCGGGCGTGGTGATAGATGTCTGTAATCCCAGCTACTCGGGGAGGCTGAGGCAGGAGAATTGCTTGAACCTGAGAGGCAGAGGTTGCAGTGAGCCAAGATTGAGCCACTGCACTCTAGCCTGAGCGACAGACCGAGACTCTATCTCAAAAAAAATAAAGTATACTGGTTTTGAAAAACTTTTATGTTAATATTCCACTGACAGTTAATGGACTTTTCCCTATTGGACGTTTAGCTTGGAGTACCTGCATACACACACCCACTTAGGGAAATCAGCCCGTGTGTGCACATTTGAAATGTGGGCGTGTCCTTTTTTCCTTCTAAAAGTGATTTCACTCCATCACCCAGGCTGGAGTGCAGTGGCGTGATCGTCGCCTCAAATTCCTGGGCTCAAGTGATCCTCTCACCTCAGCCTCCTGAGTAGCTGGGACTACAAGACGCACACCACCACGTCTGGCTGATTTTTTATTTTTGTCTTTGTAGAGATGGGGTCTCCCTGTGTTGCCTAGCCTGGTCTTGAGCTCCTGGCCTCAAACAGCCCTCCCACCTCAGCCTCCCAAAGCGCTGGAATTACAGGCGTGAGCCACTGCGCCGGGACCATCTTTTTGTTTTATCTTCCTGAGTCAAAGCGTCTTCTGGCCTTTTCATAAATACGGGTTTCAGGCCCAGCAGTAACTCAGATGGCCTCCTTGAAGGGTAGTGTTCATGTACTTCGATCAGAAACACTGCCCTAGTCAGAACAGACGGGTGTCCCTGCAGGCTGGGACTGCTCTTTTGTTCCCCATGGATGTCTTTTTTTTTTTTTGAGACGGAGTTTCACTCTTGTTGCCCAGGCTAGAGTGCAGTGGCGCAATCTCGGCCCACTGCAACCTCCGCCTCCCAGGTTCAAGCGATTCTCCTGCCTCAGCCTCCCGAGCAGCTGGGATTATAGGCACCCACCACCAAGCCTGGCTAATTGTTTTATACTTTGAGTAGAGACAGGGTTTCTCCACATCGGTCAGGCTTGTCTCAAAACCTCTGACCTCAGGTGATCCACCCACCTTGGCCTCCCAGATTACAGGCATAAGCCACCGTGCCCGGCCTTATGGACATCTTGTGTTTTTCCTTTTGTCTCGTGAAAATGTTCAAATGTCAGTGGAAGGAGAGGGCATAGAGCGCTGAGCCCCCAGGTCATCCCCTCTGCCTGGGTCATCAGCCTGTAGCCCCGTGGCAGCAGTGCCCTCCCCAGCCTCGGGGAGAGCAGAATCACCCCTGTCTTTCTCCCACTCGGCCTCTGAGGTGGGCACCTGGGCTCAGGGAGATCTGTTTGCTGAGCCGGGGCAGGGGGACAAGTTTCCGACCCTCTCCAGGCCTGCTCCAGTGGGGAGAGGCGGCCGGCAGGAAGACAGGGGCTTGGCTGAGTCCGTGGGGTGGGCCCAGGCCTGGTGCGGGGCTGTTCCATCCTCTAGAGAGTCAGGGCCCTCCCATTTCCCTCCGTAATCTGCTGCCCTCAGTCCTCTTGTCCCCTCTCCATGGAAGCGCTAAGCTGTGGTCCTAACCTGCCTTCTCCTAAGGAATCCAGAGGGCAGGGCTGGCCCACTCCGGGGAGGCCAGTCAGGAGGGCGTGGACTCCCACAGAGGCCGATGTCTCACAACACAGGAAGCGCACACACCTTGAGTGTCAGTCCCTGCCTCCCGCAGCCCACCCTGTGCTCGTCTCATCCCCCCTTCTCCACGGGAACTGCCATCCTGGTGCCCCCCTGTGTGGACCAAACACAACCTCCCACAAACTGCATGTGGCCTCTGGCCACTAATCTGCAGCACCAGCCTGTGCGGCCACCCACAGTTGTGGCCTTCAGTGGTCCGGCTAGGGGAGGAGGAGCCCCGCCCCGGGAGCAGGTGTGCCAGGGCTGGCCTCAGGAGAAGTCTTGCTCTGTGGGTAGGTCCTGGGAGGATCATGGGCTTTTGCGCGCTGATGTTGCTTTCCCTCTGGACTGTGTTGGCTCTCAGAGCTGCCTGTTTGGGAGGTGGCCGGGGTGGGGGCCAGGGCTGAGTGGCCTTGCTGGTTGCAGTGATGCGGACCCAAGGGAGCCTGCGACTGATCCTCAACACCAAGCTCTGGGCCCAGATGCAGATCGACAAGGCCAGCGAGAAGAGCATCCGCATCACAGCCATGGACACCGAGGACCAGGGCGTGAAGGTTTTCCTGATCTCGGTGAGCCAGCCACGTGGGTGCATCTGGGGCCCCTCATCCCGCTGGCCATGTGGGGGTTCCTGGGCACACAGATAAGCAGGACGGTGGGGAGGGGAGCAGGGAGGGGCCTCAGGTGCTGCCTGGGACACCAGAAGCACTATGGGACCTGCCAGTCCCAGCCTTCAGGAATAGAGATCATGTTCCTCGTCCTCTTCTCACCCCAGAGAAGCCGCTGGGGTTTGGCTGAGGGGTTGTGATGTGTTCAAGGCTAAAAGCCCTGTGGGATGGTCACCTCTGTCCTGTGTCATGGTGTCACAGTCGAGTCCACCAACCCTGACCTCTGGGATACTCCCAGCCACCTGGGAGTGGTGGCATCCTTTCAGGGAGAGGCCGGCAGGCCCAGGGCCCGGGGCCGGTGGCCTCCCCACAAGGCCTTGTGGCAGTGTCACCTCTGAACCTTGGGACTTGGCACTTGTGTTCTGCAGAAGACAGGAGAGGGTAGGACTGGGGTCCGGGGATCTCATACCCTCCTCCCGTCCCAGGCCAGCTCCAAGGACACGGGTCAGCTGTACGCAGCCCTGCACCACCGCATCCTGGCCCTGCGCAGCCGTGTGGAGCAGGAGCAGGAGGCCAAGATGCCCGCGCCTGAACCTGGGGCAGCCCCGTCCAACGAGGAGGATGACAGCGACGATGACGATGTCCTGGCTCCTTCAGGGGCCACCGCAGCTGGTGAGTCTGGTGGTCCCTACCCTGGGGGGATAAAAGGAGCTGCCCACCATCCTTGATCCAGTGCTGATCTCCTAGCGGGGGTGGCCAGACCTGGGAAGTGCGGGCTCCATCCTGACGCAGGGCTGCTGCTTCCCTGCAGGTGCTGGCGACGAAGGGGACGGGCAGACGACCGGGAGCACATAGCGGCCGGGAGCCCGGCTGCACACCAGGCTGCTGCTTTGTCCGTCTGTCCGCCCGCCCACCCGCCCCCACCCCACAGGCAGCGTCCAGGTGCGGGGCCGGGAACCACACACCCCGCTGGGCCGGCCACAGTCTGGACCCGCACGTCCTGTTCAAAAGCAGACTCGGGAACTGCCTGAATGTGGTTTGGGACATGAGACCTCATCATATTGATGAGCAAAACAAACAAGAACATTTCCTCCCTCCCCTCCTTCGAATTGAAATGGCACATTAAGACTTGTCACGGCTTCTCACTGGGACTGGAGACCTCGTTCCTTCACCCTGCGTGTCGCCAGCCTCTGGGTCCAGCCAGAGCCCCTGGCTTCTCCGCTGCCCACACCCTTCCCTCCCTGCTGCGGGGCCCCGCCCTTGTGGGGAGCAGCTGGCCCTCTGCCCCTGCCTGGGGCTCCCCGACTACAGTCCTGGGACCCCCGCCCAGCCTGGGGACTGCTCTGAGTGTAGACACTGGGCCCATTGGACATGCTGTTAACTACTATCTTCATTTCCCACTTCCCCTCTCTGATTGGGGGTGTATATTTTACATCTGTTTTTCTTTTTATTTTCAAAGGCTTTGTTTTGGTTTCTTAGGTTAAGATGCTCTCAAGCGTTGAGCAGGCACAGCTCCGTTGAGGTCCCTGTCCCCCACCTGTGGTTCTGGCCTCTGAGGTTGGGGGGTCACTTGTTTCCCACCCCAGGTACCTCCAGGCTGAGTCACAGGGTGATGAGGAGTTGGGGCCCTGTCTGTCCTAGGCCTGGAGAGTACCTATCTAGGAAAAGGTCACTGGACCTGGAAGGGTCCCCAGGGTCCCCTGACTCCTGTCTCCATCTGTGACGTGGTTCACCATCATCAGGCACCAGGCGCAAACTGCTTCCGCTGTTGGCCATCCCTTCCCCAGCCGCAGGTGTCACTGCCCCCAGGACTGTCCAGGGCCAGGGGCCTCTGAGAGGCAGAGGGGTACCCTCACCAGGTCTTGGTGGAAGAGCCAGGGGGCTGGTCCCAGAATAGGCGGTCTCACAAGCACGCAGCACACTGGAGTGGACGCCTGTGCCCACCTGACCCTGGGGTGTGGCCAAGAGCCAGCTGGCACCACCCACCTAGGGAAGCTGAGGAGGAGGTCCCCTGGGCACAGGGCCTCTTTGGGACTTCAGAGGAAATCTCCCAGCCCCACCCTCGGAGGGTTAAGAGAAGACCTCCTGCAGCTGTGCCGCCCACACCTCTTGGTCGCCAGAGCCCTGGCCCACAGCCCCCAGCAAGCCTGAGCCAGGGAAGAACCAGAGGCCCTCCCGAGAGACCCAGTCACACGTCTCTGCTTTAAGCCTTAGCCAGCTAGTGACGAGTACAACGAGATAACGCCCATGTGTTTTGGAACATTTATGTAAGATTGTCATATGAAATGTATTTGGGAACTACATTAAACTTTTAACTAAAACCCCGGCCTCTGCATGCGCCAGGGGCCTCAGGAAGCCCCTGACCACGAATGGCCTCCACCTCCCCGGGCCAGGACCTCCGGCAGCCTGGGGCCTCATGCTCCCACCCCACGTGTCACCAGCACTGGAATCCAGCCACAGCCCTGGTCTCTCCATCGCCACCCACACTTTACCCCCAACCCCCCTGCAGGTCTTGTGCCCCCGCCCAGGGCTCCCAGCCTGGGGCTGCTCATGAGAGTGTAGACACGGGGCTCGCTGGACATGTGAACTACTATTTTATTCCCCATTGCCATCTTCTGATTGGGGGTTGATGTTTTACAGATGTTTTTTTCAAAGGCTTTTTTTTTTTTGTTTCTGAGGTTAGGATGTCCCCTTGCCCCTCGCTCCACACCTGGGCAAGTCCAGACTGCCTTCCAGGATAGCCTCCACGCACCGCCTCCCACCTGGGCTTGCCTGGCTTCCTGGGGGACGCGCAAGGGAGGGGTGGGAGCAGCAGGCCGGGTGGGGGGATCAGGGGACCTTGGCGGGGGCATCCACAGGGGCTGCAAGGCCTCAGGTCAGCATGGCGTGGGTGGGGACAGCTTTTCTCCCTGGGGTCCTAAGCCAGTGACTCGTGTTAGGACCTTTGTCCCTCCTCCCCCTGGTGGCCCAGCAGGGACCTGGTCTAGCCGGTCCTGCAGCCTCTATTCCCCCACCTGCCCCTCCCCGCTCTGTGGTGTGGCTGCCCAGGAGAGAAGAGGCCCAGGGAAGGGAGGTCTCCAGCGGGGGTGGGGGTGACAGGCCAGGGCAGCAGGGCTGAGCCCGGAGCTGCTCACAGCTGCCAGGCACTGGTCATCATGGCCACGAACTCCTCATCTGTGTTCATGGAGGCACTCACGCCGCTGTAGTAGTCCTGGAATTCCGCCAGCGTGACCTGGGAACAGAGGGCCATGAGGGGGTGGCCCAGGAACTGCCTGGGGAGGGGACCCCCTGCGCAGACACCCACCTGCCCGTCCTTCTCAGAGGAGTCGAAGTTGTCCAGGAAGCGGCGCAGCACCTCGTCCTCGGTCCACTCCCCACTGCGCACCTTGGGGTGGGCACGGCCACTGTACACCCCGCGGAGGTCGTCCACTGTCACTACGCCGTCCCCACTGCGGTCCAGCTTGGCAAATGCAGCTGCGATGACTGCCTCCCGGGCCTGGGACATGGGGGGCTAGGACAGAAGGTGGTGACTGGGGGTGCTGGGTAGCAGACCCAAACCCCCAGGACACTGCAGAGCACCGGGGCTGTCACCCCAGCAGGCGCCTCTTAGCAGCTCTTGGGGAGGAGTCCCCTGTCTCCACATCTCAGCATCCTCTGTCGCCTCATGCCCAGGGCACACGCCTTGACTGCGAGGTGGGGGCTCACCCGCAGCGCCCGAAGGAACTCCTCCAGATCCAGCGTCCCGCTGCCGTCGCGGTCCCACCTCCTGCACACACCCTCTGCCTCCGCCTGGTCCAGCACCAGCCCGAGTTTGGCCAGACCCCGCCCGAACTCGTCAGCATCCAGGGATCTGCTCCCGTCCCGGTCTAGTTGGCGGAAAAACCTGGGGACAGGGGACACGGTTGGAACAGTGGTCTCAGGGGCCAGAGTCAGGAAGGCGAGAGGGGACAGCTCACCTGGCCAGGCCCTGGATGCCCGAGGCCCCGCGCGACAGGCACTGCGCCCGGAGTTTCTCCATGGTGGCGTCCACAGCGTCCATGCTCGGTCTGGGCAGCTGGAAGGGGGAGAGGTCAAGGTGGGGACTCCCGCAAGCCCACCCTGGCCAACTGCCCCTTGTTCAGACGCTCTCACCTGGCCTGCGTCTGTCCCAGAGTCCTGCCTGCCGGGCCTTCTGTTAGCTGTGTCGTGCCTGGGGAGACTGTTGCTAGCGGGAGGTGCCTCTGGAGACGGGGCGGGGCCCAGCTGCATGAATGCACTGTGCTGGCGGACAGTGGATGGGGGGGAGAAGGGAGGGGAGGGGAAGGGGAGGGGAGGGATGGGTGCACCCAGCCTGACTGCTTACTCAACTGCCAGCCCCACAGGGCCTGGGACACAGCCAGATCCCTGTGGCATTGCATCCCTTCCTGGCTGCAAGGAGGAGGGGCAGGCCACTGCCCTGCAGGGGATGAAATGCCCTGGGTGGAGGGACACAAGTTCGTGGTTGGGGAGGCTTGAGGCATGATTCCCGTGTGACCCTAGTCAGGTCCCTTTCCCTCTCTGGGCTTCACGGGGGCTTCTCAGCCCCAGCCAGGGCGGACAAAATTGCTGAGGAATCAAAGTTCAAAAAGGGCCCCCAGGTTCTGACCGGCCACAGCGGCTCATGCCTGAAATCCCAGCACTTTGGGAGGTCTAGGTGGGAGGATCACTTGAGCCCAGGAGTTTGGACCAGCCTGCGGAACATATAGAGACCCTGTTTCTATTGTACAACAACAACAAAGTCCCAGGTGGGCCGGGCGCGGTGGCTCACACCTGTAATCCCAGCACTGTGGCAGGCCGAGGTGGGCAGATCACGAGGTCAGGAGTTCGAGACCAGCCTGACCAACGTGGTGAAACCCCGTCTCTACTAAAAAATACAAAAATTAGCTGGGCTTATGGTGGTGGGTGCCTGTAGTCCCAGCTACTTGGGAGGCTGAGGCAGGAGAATGGCGTGAACCCGGGAGGTGGAGGTTGCAGTGAGCCAAGATCACACCACTGCACTCCAGCCTGGGCGACAGAGCGAGACTCCATCTCAAAAAGAAAAAAATAAAAATAAAGCCCCGGGTCCTGGGGCCCCAAGACCTCCTGCCCAGGCCCACCTCCAAGGGCAGGTCCTGCAACCCCACAGGGACTGAACTGAGCATGAGGGACACCTCTGCTCACTGCCCCACAAGGCTTGTCACTGGCGGTCGTTAGAAGCCAGTCCCAGGACTTCTGTCTTTACAGATGATTTGCTGTTGGTTTTCAGGCCTGAAATGTGACTTAGTGGGCTCGCTCCTGACAAGGTGGTGAGCCAGAGGTCGTGACCCCAAGTGGAGGAGCAGCCCTGATCCCGGACATAAACCTCAAGGGACGAAGCCACCTCACCGAAGGCCTTCAACAGAGATGTCGGATATACCTGCCCGCTAAGATGGGTGAGTTTCCCAGGACTTGCAACATGGGCCCAGTTTGGGGACCCACCGTTCCCCTAGAACTAAGGATCATCAATCGGAGCCTTCTCCAAGCCCGGCTTTATCTCGCCCACAGCGCAATTATATTGTCAGAAGTTGCCTTGCCTGAGCGCAGTGCCTCATGCCTATAATCCTAACACTTTGGGAATCCAGGGCAGGAAGATCACTTGAGCCCAGGAGTTTGAGGCCAGCCTGTGCAACATAGTGAGACCCCCCATCTCTACAAAAAACACAAAAAATTAGCCAGGCATGGTGGTGTGTTCCTGTAATCCCACTTACTCGGGAGGCTGAGGCAGGAGGATCGCTTGAGCCCGGGAGTTGGAGGCTGCAGTGAGCTATGATTGCACCACTGCACTCCAGCCTGGGTTACAGAGCAAGACCCCGCCTCTTAAAAAATAAATAAACTGGCCAGGCGCGGTGGCTCACGCCTGTAATCCCAGTAACTTGAGAGGCTGAGTCGGCAGATCATGAGGTCAGCCAGTTTCAAGACCGACCTGGCCACCATGGTGAAACACTGTCTCTACTATATACACAAAAATTAGCCAGACATGGTGCTAAAGTGTAATCAAGCACTTTGGGGAAGGCAAGCGGGCAGATCATGAGGTCAGCAGTTGCGAGACCAGCCTGGGCCAACATGGCGGGAAACCCATCTCTACTCACAAATACAAAATAGCTGAGCGTGTGGTACACGCTATCAAGTCCCAGCTACTCGGCGAGCTGAGGCCAGAGAATTGCTTGAACTGAGAGGCAGAGTTGCAAGGGAGCCCGAGAATCGCGCCATTTGCCACTACCAGATGGGGACGGAGGCAAGACTTGTACCAAAAAAAAAAAGAAAAAACAGGCACCGGTGGTGGGTGCCTGTAATCCCAGCCTACCTTGGAGGGCTGAGGCAAAAAGATCACCTTGAAGACTGGAGGCGAGTTGCAGTGACCAAGAGCACACCACTGCACCCCAGCACTGGGCCAACAGAGTGATAGACTCTGTCTCATAAATAGATATAATTAACTTAAAAAAGAGTCAGGCGCAGTGGCTCACGCCTGTAATCCCAGCACTTTGGGAGGCCGAGGCGGGCGGATCACGAGGTCAGGATATCAGACATCCTGGCTAACACGTGAACCCCCGCTCTACTAAAAAAATACAACAAAACTAGCCGGGCGATGTGGTGGGTGCCGTAGTCCCAGCTACTCGGGAGGCTGAGGCAGGAAAGAAATGCGTGAACCCGGAGCGGAGCTTGCAGTGAGCTGAGATCCGCACTGCACTCCAGCCCAGGCGACAGAGGGAGACTAACGTTCAAAAAAAATAAATAAATAAAAATAATAATAATAAATAGCTGGCATGGTGGTCATGCCTGTAATCCCCCGCTACTACTGGGAGCAGAGGCAAAGGAGAATCACTAAACACTGGAGTGAGGGTTGCAGTGAGCCAGATCATACTCGCCTGGGTGGCAGAGCGCGCAGAGCAGGACTCCGTCTCAAAAAAAAAAAAAGAGGTTGCTTTGGAGTCTGACACCAATCTGTAGGTTACAGGCAACCTGGCATCTTGATTCAAGCCACCACTGATGTAACATCATCAGGTTTTATGAGAAACCATGGTGACATCTGGCTGCCCAATCCTGAGGGCTCACTGCAATCCAGAATTTTTTAAATAGAGATACTTTATGTCTATGAGTGTTACAAGCACATTTTTTTTTTTGGTCTGTGTAGAGAACTATAAAATATAACCACTATTATTGAAGTGCTGTTTTGGCAATCTCATTTTACATGTTTAGTAAGAATTTCTTGGGAGGCAATGCAGGAGGATCACTTGAGGCCAGGAGTTCAAGACCAGCCTGGGCAATGTAATGAGACTTATCTCTAAGAAAAAATGCAAAAATCAGCGACGCATGGGTGCATATGCCTGCGGTCCCAGCTACTTGGCAGGCTGAGGTGGCAGGATAGCTGAGCCAGGATTTTTTTTTTTTTTTTTTTTTTAGAGGGAGTTTCCCTCTGTCACCCAAGCTGAGTGCAAGGGCGCAAATCTCGGCTTACTACAGCCTCCATCTCCCGGGTTCAAGTAATTCTCCTGTCTCAGACTCCCGAGTAGCTGGGATTACAGGCATGCGCCACCACACCCAGTTAATTTTTGCATTTTTTGTAGAAACGGAGTTTCACCATGTTGGCCAGGCTGGTCTCAAACTCCTGGCCTCAGGTGATCCACCTGCCTTGGCCTCCTAAAGTGCTGAGATTATAGGTGTGAGCCACTGTGCCCAGCCGAACCCAGGATTTTGAGGCTGCAGTGAGTTGTGATCACACCATTGCACTCCAGCCTGGGCAACAGTGAGACTTTTGTCTCTTTAAAAACAAAAAGACAACAGAATTTGAGCAATAACTTCCCCCAAAATTGAAAGTGGCCCTGGCCCTCCAGACCTGGAGTGTGTTCCTTTCACACCTCTGGGCCTCTGGTTTTTTTGTTGTTGTTGTTGCTGTTATTGTTTTTTGTTTTTTCTCTGAGACCAAGTCTCACTCTGTTGCCCAGGCTGGAGTGCAGTGGTGCGATCTCCACTCAGTGCAGCCTCCACCTCCCGGGTTCAAGCAATTCTTCTTGAGTAGCTGGGATTACAGGTGCCCGCCACCACACCTGGCTAATTTCAGTATTTTTAGGAGAGACGGGGTTTCACCATGTTGGCCAGGCTGGTCTCGAACTCCTGACCTCAGGTGATCCACCCATCTCAGCCTCCCAAAGTGTTGGGATTACAGGCCTGAGCCCCACCCCTGGCCTGGGCCTCACTTTCCACAGCTGTAAAATGAGGACAAAGCCTATGTCTACAGGGAACTCGAAGATTAGACGCAATCGGTGTAGAGAGTGCTTTGCGCACGCTCCCTAGATTCTACCTGGCCCAGCAGGACCCTACCATGAGGCACAGATAACACAGAGGGCCTCCCTCTTGCCCCCAAGCCAGGATGAAAGGATGAAGGACCCAGGCCAGGAAATCATCCGGTTTATTCTTGAGCACAGACAGGCCCCAGCCTGCCTTTCCTTTGTACAAACAACCCCCCTCCTTGTTCATCCAGAGGAGAAAATGGGCCCATTGTCACTGCACTGAGGGGTCACTGTTGCCAGGCAGGCAGGCGGGCGCCATCCTGAGGGCCGTGGGTGGCCTCCGACCTTTCTGGTCTGAAACAGGCTGTGCCCCTCGGCGGTTCCTGGTGTGACAGTTCCCTGAGTGAGGAGGTGGGGGAATGGCTGGCCCCGAAAGGCACAGGAGTTTTCTCCTTTCCCTGGTTTGACAACAAGTAAAGCACCGTGAATGTCTTGGACTAAGAAGGACAGCGCAGAAACAAGGAGTTCAAAAATAGATTCTTTAGGGCGTATAAAAAGGAGACAGTTGCGTGCTACAAAAGCTAGGCTAGGGCCGGGCACGGTGGCTTACCCCTATAATCGCAGCACTTTTGAAGGCCGAGGCGGGTAGATCACCTAAGGTCAGGAGTTTGAGACCAGCCTGGTCAACATGGTGAAAGCCCCTCCCCCTCCCCCGTCTCTACTAAAAAGACAAAATTAGCCGGGTGTGGTGGTGGGCGCCTGTAATCCCAACTACTCTGAAGGATGAGACAGGAGAATTGCTTGAACCTGGGAGGCGGAGGTTTCAGTGAGCCAAGATCACACCACTGCACTCCAGCCTGCGTGACAGAGCCAGACTCCATCTCAAAAAAAAAAAAAAAAAAAAAGCTAGGCTGGCTCGAGGGGGCCTCATTCAGCAGATGTACTAGGGGTCCCTTTAGGAGCCCACAGACCCATCCTGTGCTTCCTGGGGTGTGTCAGGCACTGGTGACAAACAGAGAACAAGACAGACAAAAATTCCTGCCCTCAGAGAGCTTACACTCTGATGGTAACAAGTTCAGTAAAGAAAATAAAATGAAGCTGGGTGTGGTGTGGTGGCTCATAAGATCGCTTGAGCCTGGGCAATATAGCAAAAGCCTGTTTCTACTAAAATTTTAAAAATTATCCAGGCATGGTGGCGCGTGCCTGTAATCCCAGCTACTCAGGAGGCTGAGGCAGGAGAGTCACTTGAACCCAGGAGGCAGAGGTTGCGGTGAGCCGAGATCGCACCGCCGCACTCCAACCTGGGTGACAGAGGGAGACTCCGTCTCAGAAAAACTTTAAAAAAATAAAATAATTAGCCGGGTATGGGGACACATGCCTGTAGTCCCAGCTACTCGGGAGGCTGAGGTGGGAGGATCTCTTGAGCCCAGGAGTTCAAGGCTGCAGTGAGCCATGATCACACCTCTGCACTCCAGCCTGGGCGACACAGTGGGACCCTGTCTCTGTAAAGAATAAATAAAAATAAATTTGTCTTTATTGGCTGGAGCCTTCCAATTCTGGTGTGGGATAGAAAACTAAGAAAATGCATTAGTCCTGGGATCAGGGCTGCTTCAGTAGGAACAAGAATCAGGGCAGCTCCCCGCCCCCCACAAAAAAAGGAGAAAAACTCAAATAATGGGGAACTTGATACCATTTGCATTCACCAGACAGAAAAAGAGAGAAGTCTCAATTCAGGTGCTTCAGGGGCCAGACAAACTAAGAGAGGTAAGACCAACAGAGGCCAGGCACGGTGGCTCCCACCTGTAATCCCAGAACTTTGGAAGGCCTAGGCAGGCAGATCACTTGAAGCCATGAGTTCAACACCACCCTGGCCAACATGGTGAAACCCCCATCTCTACTAAAAATACAAAAATTAGCTGGGCGTGGTGGTGCGCATCTGTAATCCCAGCTACTTGGGAGGCTGAGGCAGGAGAATCGCTTGAACCCAGAAGGTGGAGGTTGCAGTGAGCCAAGATCACACCACTGCACTCCAGCCAGGGTGACAGAGTGGGACTCTGTCTCAAAAAAAAAAAAGACCAACAGAAACTCACACCCTGGCTAAAGAGGGTGCCCTGGACTCCAGGCAAGCATGGCCAAGTCTTGCCAGAAATCCCGATCTTTGTGTTTGCATTGCCAGGTTTTTAGCAAGGGTGACTGATTCAAAGTTTAAAAACAAACAAATGAGAACACTTCTGTCTGGGTTAAACGTCTGCATCTGGCCTGTGGGCCTCTTTGAAAACTTTGACTGTTTAGCCCGTTCTGATGCTTAGACAGGACTGTGGCTCTGCCATAGGGTCCCCCTGCAGGACGCTGGTGACTCCCAAGGACATTGACAGCAGTGGCTTTCTGTCTCCATTCTGGAATCTGCATTCCGGGCTCACACTGTGGTCCCAAACACCGCAGGCTGGAGGGGGTCCCTGTCTGCCTCTTCCCCAGTGCTATTGGCAAGGGGCGGACCAGGCCCACCGGGGGGTGGGTGGCCGAGGTCACTGGCCGGCACGGGCCCCAGGCGCTCAGCCTCAGCCAGGGCAGCCAGCAGCCCGGCCAGGGGTGGTCGGCGGCGGCAGATGTCCTGCAGCAGCTCAGCCCGGGGCTGCAACTGCCTAATGAGTTTGTCCCTCTGGTGCACGGCGGCCTGCAGGCTGTGGACAGTGGCCTCTGAGGTCATCAGCTGCTCCTGGAGTGTGGCAATCTCACTGGCAAGAAGGCAAGAGGAGGTGATTACGGAACTGAGGACCACGGCGCTTGTTCCTCCCTGCTCCGGACCCCATCACCTTTGGGATAAAGCCCGCATTCCTCACCACTGCCTCAGGGTCCTGCCTGGTTATGAACGGAATGTTTCTTTGTTTTTACTATTATTATTATTATATTTTACTTTTTTTTTTTTTTAGATGAAGTCTCGCCCTGTTGCCCAGGCTGGAGTGCAATGGCGCGATCTCAGTTCACTGCAACCTCTGCCTCCAGGGTTCAAGTGATTCTCCTACCTCAGCCTCCCTAGTAGCAGGGATTACAGGTGCCCACCACCACACCCGGCTAATTTTTTGTATCTTCAGTAGAGATGGGGTTTCCCCATGCTGGCCAGGCTGGTCTCAAACTCCTGACCTCATGATCCGCCCACCGTGGCCTCTCATAGTGCTAGGATTACAGGCATAAGCCACCATGTCCAGCCTATTATTACAATTTTTGCGACGCAGTCTCGCTCTATTGCCCAGACTGGAGTTCAGTGCAACCTCTGCCTCCCAGGTTCAAACAACTGTCCTGCCTCAACCTCCTGAGTAGCTGGATTTACAGGCATGTGCCACCATGCCTGACTGATTTGTGTAGTTTTAGTAGAGACAAGGTTCTGCCATGTTGGCCAGGCTGGTTTTGAACTCCTGACCTCAAGTGATCCACCCGCCTTGGCCTCCCGAAGTGCTGGGATTACAGGCTGAGCCACTGCACCCGGCCTGAACTGAATGTTTCTGTCTCCCCAAAATTCATATCATGAAGCCCTAACCCCAGTGGGAGGTATATTAGTCCATTCTCACGATGCTATAGGGACATACCTGATACTGGGCGATTTATAAAGAGGTATAATTGACTCACATTTTCACATGGCTCGGGGTAGCCTCGGGAAACTTACAACCATGATGGAAGGTACCTCTTTACAGGGCAGCAGGAGAGAGAGAGACCAGCAAAGGGAGACTCCCTTATAAAACCATCAGATCTCTGACTGATTGATTGAGACAGAATCTAGCTCTGTCATCCAGGCTGGAGTGCAGTGGTGTCATCTCAGCTCACTACAACCTCCGCCTCCCGAGTTCAAGCAATTTTGCTTTAACCTCCCCAGTAGCTGGGACTGCAGGTGTATGCCACCATGCCCAGCTAATTTTTTTTTTTTTTTTTTTTTTTTGTATTTTTACTAGAGACAGGGTTTCACCATGTTGGCCAGGCTGGTCTCGAACTCCTGACCTTAGGTGATCTGCCCGCTTCACCTTCTCAAAGTGCTGAGATTACAGGTGTGAGCCATTGCTCCCAGTCATCAGATCTCGTGAGAATTCACTCACTATCACGAGAACAGCATGAAGGGGAAACCATCCCCCATGATTCACTTACCTCCCACCAGTCCCTCCCACGACACGTGGGCATTACGGGATTACGATTCAAGCTGACATTTGGGTGGAGACACAAAGCCTAACCATAGCAGAAGGGTATTTGGAGATAGAGCCTTTGGGAGATGATTAGGGTTAGATGAGGTCGTCAGGGTGGGGGTCTCTATGATGGGATTAGTATGCTTATATGAAGAGATACAAAAGAACTCCCTAGCTTGCTCTGCCCTGTGAGGATGCAGAGAGAAGCCAGAAATCTGCAAGCCAGAAAGAGGGCCCTCGCCATAACCTGATCATGCAGGCACCCTGCTGTCGGACGTCCAGCCTCCAGAATGCTGAGAAACAAACATCTTGTTTAAGCCACTCAATTTATGGCATTTTGTTTGTTTGTTTGTTTGTTTGAGACAGAGTCTCTCTCTGTCGCCCAGGCTGGAGCGCAGTGGCGCAACTTCTGCTCACCGCAACCTCTGCCTCCTGGGTTCAAGCGATTCTCGTGCCTCAACCTCCTGAGTAGCTTGGGACTACAGGTGCCCGCCACCACACCCAGCTACTTTTTTATATTTTTAGTAGAGACGGGGTTTTGCCATGTTGGCCAGGCTGGTCTCAAACTCCTCAGCTCAGGTAATCTGCCTGCCTCAGCCTCCCAAAGTGCTGGGATTACAGGCTTGAGCCACTGCGCCCGGCCTCCCCATCTATTCTTAGTAGGCTCTTCCTCCAGGAAGCCTTCCCTCTGAGACCCCTCAGAGCCCCATACGCCCCTCCATCACAGCCGTTGACCACCGATGATGTAACTGCCCAGTGACATGTCTGTCTCTCCACTGGACTGTGGACGCCCAATGGGCAAGGCTGAGTAGGTCTTACTGATGTGCTCCAGTACCCAGCATAGTGCCTGACACACAGTAGGGGTTCAATGAAGATGAATGGATGAGTGCCCGGCACACAGCAGATGCTCGGTAAAAATGAATGAATATGTCCAATTAGCTCTGAATTAATAGTTCCCACCTGGAGCCCAGCTCCTCCCAGCTCCCTGGGTGCCTGTCTCATCTCTTTCATCCTCAGCTATCAGAGGGACTCTTCAAAAATGCTGATATGGGACAGCATGGTGGCGCATGCCTGTAATCCCAGCACTTCGGGAGGCTGAGGTGGGAGGATCGCTTGAGCCCAGAAGTTCCAGGCCAGCCTAGGCAACAGTCTGACCCCATTTCTAAAGGATTTTTTTTTTTTTAATCAGCCAGGTGTGGTGTCGCACGCCTGTGATCCCAGCTACTTGAGAGGCTGAGGAGGGAGGGTGAGACTGTAGTGAGTCGAGATTGCACCACTGCATTCCAGCCTGGGCAACAGAGCAAGATCCCATCTCAAAAATAATAAAAGACAGATAGGCGTGGTGGCTTATGCCTATAATCCCAGCACTTTGGAAGGGTGAGGTAGGAGGATTGCTTGAGCCCAGGAGTTCAAGACCAAACTGGGCAACATGGCAAAACTGTTTCTACAAAAAAATTAGCCATGCGTGGTGGTGGACGCCTGTAGTCCCAGCTACTGGCGGTGGTCAGACTGAGATGGGAGAATCACCTGAGCTCCGGAGATCGAGGCTGCACTCCAGCCTGGGCATAGGAGTGAGGCCCTGCCTCAAAAATAATAAATTTAGGCCGGAGGTGGTGGCTCACGCCTGTAATCCCAGCACTTTAGCAGGCTGAGGCGGGAGGATCACCTGAGGTCAGGAGTTAGAGACCAGCCTGCCCAACATGACAAAAACCAATCTCTACTAAAAATACAAAAAATTGACCGGGCGTGGTGGCTGGCGCCTCTAATCCCAGCTACACGGGAGGCTGAGGCAGGAGAATCGCTTGAACCCGGGAGGTGGCGGTCGCAGTGAGCTGAGATCATGCCACTGCACTCCAGCCTAGGCAACAAGAGTGAAACTCAGTCTCAAAAAACTCATAATAAATTAAAAAAGTTAAAATGCTGATATGGGCTGGGCATTGTGGCGCATGCCTGTAATCCCAGCACTTTGGGAGGCCGAGGTGGGCAGATCACCTCAGGTCAGGAGTTCGAGACCAGCCTGACCAGTATGGTGAAACCCTCTCTCTACTAAAAATACAAAAAAATTAGCCAGGCGTGGTGGCAGGTGCCTATAATCCCAGCTACTCGGGATGCTGAGACTGGAGAATTGCTTGAACCTGAGAGGCGGAGGTTGCAGTGAGCTGAGATCGTGCCACTGTACTCCAGCCTGGGCGACAGAGTGAGACTCCATCTCAAAAAAAAAAAAAAAAAAAAATGCTGATATGATCCCCTCTTCCCCAGCTGAAGAGCCTGCTATGGCTCCCAGTGCCTACGCTGGGCGGTCTGTGGTCCCTGCGTCGCTCAGCACCTGTGGGAAAGTGGGCCTGTTTGAAGTTAGAGGCCCACACCTGTGTCACTTCTCTCAACTTTACATACTGATTACTAATTAGAGTTTTTTGGTGTTTTTATCAATCCCATAATCAGTCTAGCTTCCATACGAGTGCACACGGTTGCCCCTACCCTTCCTTGCTTTCCAGCCTCGACTCTGCCTCCGCCCACCGCCTCGGTGAAGTCCACCTGGCCGGCCCCGGGCCTCACCGGTCCTTGGCGCGACCCAGTTCGTCTAGGGCAGCGCGCAGCTGCTGGTCGTGGAGAGCCAGGCGCTCGGCCTGGGCGTGCACCGTGCGCTCCGCCGCGTCCAGCCGCGCCTCCAGCTCCGCCGCGCGCCGGTGCACGGCCGCCAGGTGTGCGTTCGCCTCCCGGATCTGCAGGGCAGGCGGCGCCGACATGGCCCAGGCCGCTGTCCAGGCCCGGCCACGCCCCCGGGAGGCCCGGAACTGGCAAGGCCCCGCCCCTGGGATGGCCCCGCCCCTCTGAGCCTCGGCGCGATTGGTCGCTGACCCCGCTAGACTCCGCCCCACAGGGCTAGGTCGCGCTCTCCTCAAACCCAAACACTACCACCGGTTCCGGGATCATGAAACTCCGCCCCTGAGTTTGGGCTCACTCTAGGATTGGACAAGATCTTGACAGCCACGCCCCCAGGCTGGCCACATCCTTTGGCGGCTAGCGCAACTCAGGCTCTGGAAACGGGATTGGTCACACCTTCGATACTGTCCCCGCCCTACTTGGAAGCTAACACCAGGATTGGCCCGGACTCCGCGAAACAGCATGTTGCCCGTCAGGGGCAGATCCAGGCACGGCCTCGCCCTTTTATCCTTTATACAGTCTCGGATTGGTCAAGTCCCTTTTAGGTTCTCCCTCCAATTCTAGCCACGCCCTCAAGTCAAGCGCCTGGGTACTTCATCCGGCCTAGGGCGTGGAATAGCCGCTGGTTGGACAGAGGCCACGTCCCGCGGAGCTTCTAGTATTGTCATTGGTCACTTTTCCGTCTAGTATTGTCATTGGTCATCTTCCCGATAATCCCCGCCCCTGATCCTGTCCATGGCCCAAAACAGTAGCCCGCGGCTTAGACTCCAGCTTGGTGACTGACCACAGGGCATAACCACTCGCAATACAGATTCTGACACTGGGTGTGGCCACATCCCCGCCAAGCCCCGCCCCACAGCCATTGTCTCGTTTTGTCTCGCTGCTATCAACTGCAGTCCCGCCCGTCCCAGTCTGAGCCTGGCCCCTCCCCTAGTAGATTAGTCCCCGCCTCTGGTAGTCAAATCGTCCCTAACCTAGGATTCCCTGAGCTGGGACTAGCGAAATCTGTCCGCACTGATCGCAGTCGTCCTCAGTTTTACCCTCTGGGAATCGGCCTGGGGGTGCACGTGCTGCTCTCTTCCACCAGGCCCGTCCCTGGCGCGTGGCGCGATCCGTGTCCATGTCCGCGGCTGTCAATAAAGTTGCTCACTTGTTGCCGGCCCGCTACCCCGAGAGGTTGCGCGCGCAGCCCGAGAAGTCTCGCGATAGCCAGCTGCGTCTGCCCTTGCTCTTGCCGAGCCGGCGGCGTCTGAGGTGTGGGATCAGGGTAGCAGGCTATGGCGCCGAAGGTTTTTCATCAGTACTGGGATATCCCCGATGGCACCGATTGCCACCGCAAAGCCTACGTCACCACCAGTATTGCCAGCGTCGCTGGTGAGCGCCGACCGGGCCCGGAGGGTGGAGGGCCGAGGCCGCAGGGAGGTCGTGGGGTCACTGGGGGCTGTCTTTTTTAATCGAACGGGGCTGGGAGTCTCGCGGGTACGCACGTGGTCGTCATCGGGGTGTCTTGGGCAGTCGTAGAGGGGGGATCTTGTGTGAAATGGATGTTGGTAGGGAATCTAGCAGGGTTGGGGAGCACTGGGAGGTCGTGACATGCGACAAACTAGTCCCTGGGGTCGTCTGAGGCGGTCCCTAGCGATCGCCAGGCTCGGGGAAATTGTGGAGTGAGACATGGCCATTATCAGGTCCAAGGAGCTAGGGGACCACGAGACTTTCCAACGGGGTAGCAGATTGTTAGAGGTGATCATGAGTCATGATCGGGGCATCTGAGGGCGGTACAAAAGTTTGAGAAAGTTTTGGGGTGGGATGAGGTCTTTCTGTGGTCAGGGGGTGCTGAGTGGTTAGGGACACCTGAAGCTTTTACTGGGACTGCCAGAGAGGTCCTAGGTGAGGTGGATCAGGAGCTACTATGAGGGTAGTCTTGCAGGGGAATAAGAAGGACCCCCATGGAGACATTGTCCCCAGAAATATCTAGGTCTCCACGCCATGGTGGCAGGCCCCTTGTAGTCCCAGCTACCTTGGCAGGCTCTGAACAGCAGATACGACTTGACCTGGGAGCAAGCCGTGTGCCAGCTGGATCCAAGACTGCACCCACCTGCACCTCCAGCTGGGTGACAGACTGAGACCTCTGTCTCAACACAACAAACACTAACAACAAATACACCACCAACAACCTCAGGGAGAACGCAAAGTCACCTGAAGACCCTGGGCACCCTTGGAGGGCTCACAGCAAGCCCACGACCACCCCCTACAATTCTCATGTATGCCATCAGAGATCGCCCTGACGGATGTCGACTCTGTCCAAAAGTTCCAACTCCCCTCAACGACCTACAACGCGCGCCCCCCTGCTCCAGAAGTCCTCCTCATCAGCCACCACCCCGAGACCAAGCCTTCCCCTCCTTTCCAGCCCATCGGGGACCTGCCATTCCCAACCTGTGTGCTGAGAATTAAAGGACATGATAGCCCCATGAAACGCTAAGAACCTAGGAAGGGGCAACGACTCAGGTCTACCTATAAGAGAATCCGGGCCTGCCGGCCGTGGTGCTCCACCCCTTAATCCCAGCACTTTTGGGAGCTGAGGCAGAGGAATGGTTCGAACCCAGCGCGGAGGTGAAGGTTGCAGTGCAGCCGAGATTCCCAGCGCCACTGCCGCCGCTCCAGGCCTGCTGAGCCGCGGGCAAGATGTCTGTTCGTCCAACAGAAAACACACAAAACAAAAAGAGACTGCCCGCGAGCAGCCTTGCCGCGGC